TGTGGGGGCTGCCGGGGGCTGGGCCGGGCCGGGCCGGGCACACCGGCACACGCCGCCTCCTTCACCTCCTGCCCCGCATCCCCCTCCGGCCGGCGTCACACACCGCTCCCCCCGCTATAGGTGCCTTCCGTAGCGCGGCAATGCCACCTCCGGGTCTGTTAGCTTCGGCTGCTGCATCAAGAGGAAAAAAGGTGACGCTTATGTTATAATTAGCTGGGTCCCGTCTCTAAGAAAAAAAAAAAAAAGCCTCTCTGATGACAGAATTGTAGTTAGGAAGGGCAGCCAGCCGTACAGAGAACTAAGTGGAAGGACCGACGTGCTTAGGTCATTCCACTTACATGAAGCTGAGCTATTAAAGTTATTAACTGGACTTCAATGAAACGGTCTCCTCTGCTGGAGGGGGAGAAATGGTCTCCTCTCCCGGGTCTGGAGACAGTGTCACTGCACTGCGGAAATGATCCCTTCGGGGTTGCTGCCTGACGGGAGGTAGGGGCCGGGATAAAGCCTAGGCTGTGGTAACTGCATCCAGTCATCAGCTGCCTAATTCATGCTGCAAGTACCCATTGAGCCCTGGCATAAAAAGAGAAGGTAAAATAAAAGGTGAAAAAAAAAAGGGACAAGGCAGACCCAAGGAGAGCAGCAGACATTTTAAAAGAGGAAACTTCTGGCTGCAGAAAGAGAAATTGGAAGAAAGCAAGCATCCCTCCTGCCTGCCACGAGGAGGGTGGATGGTCCTTGGAGTGCCACCAAGGACCAGGAGCGAAAGATGCTCCAGGGCTCCCCTGTTTTACATTGCAGCAGAGCAAAATACAGCATTTTTCTGCATAAAAGGTACGAAAGATGTGGAACGCAAATGTTCATGTCACCAGTCCCACCGGATTACCTCAACCTCCTTCCCCGCTGGAGTCTCCCCCCTGGCAGCTGATGGCGAGGAGATGCTGGGGCGGGACGTCCGCGCCTGCAGAGGGAGCTGGGACGGGCGGCCGCCTACAGGTCCCATGATGCTCTGCTCCCCTGTGCGCCGGGCAGCCGCGAACCTTCCGCGCACGGCATGCTGGGACGTGTATTTTATATGAGAACAGCGCAACCCTCCAATAGCGGCTTCCCCTCGCGGGGGCGGGATTGAAAGGCGGAGCGCTGATTGCCTGTCGGAACCGCCAATCCTGGCCCGCTCCGTTGCCCTGACAACCGCGCAGCGCCGGGGACGCGGTGGGGGCCGGTACCGCGCAGGTAGGGGCGGCCGGGGGCGGAGGGGACGCGGGGAAACGGCCCCGCTGCGCCGGTGGAAACGGGTGAATAATTACAGACTTGAGAGCGTGGGCAGCAGCGGCCGGGGGATGCCCGTTTGGCTGCGGAGCGGAACCCGCGGCCTGCCCCGTGCGGCCAAGGCCGCCCCTCTCACCGCGTACCCGGCCCGCCGGCCTGCGTGAGGGGAAGGACCCGGCGGGCCCCCGGGGGTGGCTGTGCCAAAGGCTGGAGGGTGCTGGTGACCAGACCCGGGTGGCTGCAAACTCTCCCCTCAAGGCGGAGCGAAGCCCCCTCAGCCCCCCCCGGCTGTGCTTCCACAGCTGCCCCGAAGCCCTCTCCTCCCCTGACCCCCCCTCCCAGGGCAGGACTTTGTTCCAGCAACCCACCTCTCACTTTTAAAAGATGAGATGATGATTTTTTTCTTACCTTTGCTTTAAAAAAAAAAAAAAAGTAGTAATAAAGTCTTATCTAGTGTCAATCTTTACAATATAACATTTCTTGGTTCAGAAGTCATAACAAGGCAACATATGCTACTGTTTGCTTCTCAACAGGATCATGTTATGGCAACTTAAATATCATTAACTATGGAAGTACCAACCAAATTGTTCATAAATTTTAATAGTGTGGACCAGCTGTACTAGCTCACACCAGCAGTTGTCTCTAGGCCAGTAGGGGCTTGGACAAGATTATAATAAAGCCATACTTGCACTCTTCGCACCTTTTTTTTCCTTGGATTTACAGCTTTATTTCTATAACCTTATAATAAGGTTATCTATATATCTATAATCTTATATATCTATAATCTTATCTATAATAAGATATTATAATTATTTTTCGTAGCCCTCAATTTTCTTCTGTCAGTTTGCCCTGTTACGTTTTGAAATTGTGCACTTCTGGCAGCCATCCTGTCCACAGGCAGTATGCTCCATAATTCAACTACCTCTTGTGTAATGAAATACTTTCATACTTCTTTTGTTTGTCTCCAGTCTGTCCCTTGCTAAGCTCATGTGATTCCAGCTAGATCTTGTATTATGAAAGACCATGAATAATCATTCCCTGGTCACTTTCTCCATGCCTCTCATGATTTTAATGATTTCTATCATACCCTCTTCATTCCAGGCTAAAAAGAATCATAGCTTATTCCTAGTAGAAAACATGTTCCATATCTTCAACTATCCATGTTATACCGTTTCCAATTCTATTCTATTTCTTTTTGAGTGGAGAAACAGAACACAGTATTATCCAATATTTTAATGACATTTCCAGTTTTGTTCTCTATGTTTTTTTTACTAATTCTTACACTAATTTTACACATATGGTATTTATCATCCCAGAACAAATAACCGCCTGTACTGGTTTCTATCAAATAACAAAATCTACAACTAGTTCAAGTAAGAAGTTTTCATTAAATTAGGCTATGTGTGAAAGCAGGTACATTCAAATAGAACTATTCATATGCTGAAATTATTTTGCATTTGCCAAAACTTCAGCTTTACTTCCTACAACTTATACAATGAAGTTGTGTCCAAATATGCACAAGCATTATCAAGAATATAAACTTCAGGTGTTTGTTTTAATTGCTCTTTGTGTAGAGCAAAGTAGAATAAATTTAATTAAAGGGAACAATGTATATGATATTCTGGAGACATCAGGTCATTCTCCAGATGGTATTTTTAACAAGTTCCTAAATGTTTACAGACAGAAATGGGATTTTTACCTTCATAGTGACACGTTTTTGATAATTTCCTTGTAGTGCTTTTGTTAAATGGAAGTGCACTCAATTCTTCTGTCATTCCAAATTGTAGTAAATTATAGTGCTAAATTAGTAATGCACACAGACTTGACCTTAAATCATTCAATTAGGCAACTAATGAATCATTCTGTGCCCTCAATTCAGACAGCATCTTTTGTAGTACTGATAGGTAATTAACTTTCCCCTTTTGCAGTACCTAGCAACTTCATGGATTTGCTTTATAACTGTAAATGTTTCAGAACATCAAATGATTAGGAGAACACTCTGATCTTATTTTTTCTCTTGAGCCTAATGTTCAAAATATTACAGTCATCTATAAATAAACTAGGCTACAAAATTTCAAAGTTGTCAAATATTTACTTGAGCTTGACCAATTAAATAATGTAAAACGGTGTTCCACTGAAAAATTGCTGAAAAATTAGACTTAACATATTTAATGAAGTTTTAATAGAATACATTATCTACTTCTAAAGAATAAAATATATGGCAATGTTCATGACAATTGATTTTCAAGCGCTATTCTTTTTTGTAGGTTTTGCACTCAAATTTTTAAAATTATGTTAATTTAAATGCTGTTTCCAACCTCTCTTCTCAATCATAGAATCATGAATTTATATTTATATATTTCTGGACACGTATGCATATTGGAGTTCTTTCTAAATAAGCAATATAGAAATATCCCAAAGAGGGCAGGAACTAACCACAGATTAAAGAAATTATCTTCTTTTTTTGTCATATTTTCAGGTAGTCCTCTAATTTTTTCATGGTTTTCTTGATAGAATTTGGTACTTTGTGTAAAAACTTAGGGAGTGGGAAAAAAACCCCAAACCCCTGAAGAGCTAACTTCTGAAAATGCTAGCTTTTAATCTTACACATTAAGAACCATTAGGATGTTTGTTCCTTGATTTCTTTTTTGGAAGAGGAGGGGTGCAAAAAGTTTGCTCTTTGGTACCTATTTCAAAATTCTCAGTGAGTGTTGGTTTCTGTCAGGGAGCACCTGTGGGTTAGTAGCGTGGAAAAACAACTTTGCATAGATACTTTTAAGTGGCTATGGGCTTGATTATGCTTCCAGAAAAGTTTTTAGAAGCTTTGCCTTCGCTTTCTTTGGAGGCCTTACATGTTTCCTAACCACTGACAATCACACGCGCTCAGGATGACAAATGGGCAGAGGCGATATAGTGTTAGGGATATTGTAAAAGGAGATAATTACTTTGTACTTTTCTATCTGTTTTCCAGTTGGTGAGGTTCTGTGCATCACAGCTGGAACCACGAACAGCCCTATTGATTGCTGTATTCATTTGCAACCCTTAAACAGGGATACTTTTTGTATTACCATATCCACGTATGTACACTCGGTCACCGACACTGCCTTCACCAGTGCTGCCCTTACCTGTGTAGTGCTGTGTGTACCTCTACACCTCATTCTTTCAGTAACTGCATTACTGGGAGACAATTTTCAAAAGTTTTAACAGTTTTTATAGGTATAGTACACTTGAAATAAGTCAGTTGAAGGAAAAGGGATGTTTTTACTTGCACTAAACAGAGGCATGTGACTTATCTCAGCCCTCTCAGTGTTTCCTCTATTCATGTGACTTAGGGTTTAGGTTACTCAGAAAATAGAACTCAAAATTTCCAAATTGGCTTGCTTTGTGTATAATTAGGAAATGGTGAAGTTAGGCAATGTGACTGTAATATAATATGAGATACATATTGTCCTTCAACTAATTTCTAAAACAGTTGGCCTCTCCTCCTATCTTGGAGGGATGTCTCTTTTATTCAGAGGCATCGAGGTTGCTTTCAGATTAGATTAGTCACAGAATCCATTTATAAAATGGATCACAACTTTTTTTACATAAAATACACAAGGTGATAGATAAGAAATTGCTTTGTGCTTTTATTTTTAAATAAGGGAAAATTAGCCTCTTTTAGCTACCTGAATTGACATGCACTCTAAGATAGGTACCCCTAAGCATTTCAGAACTATAAACTAAGCATACTGTTCAGTGTAGAGGTTCCTTTGAAAGATCATAACTGGGAAAATATATTGGATGTTAGACATAAATATATTGTCAATGTTTGTAGTCCTGTATTTGACAAAAAGACTGTGAGAGTAAGGGTAGAAAAGCTTCCTAACTTTCTCCTTATGCTCATTATACATGACTTGTGTTTTTTTTTCAATCTTCCAAAAACATTGTCCCTTGCAAGGCAAAGGTTTCAGAATTCTAAAACACTACTCTGTTTTGCATTGGTATTATCACAACTTTTTGGAAGCAGCAGATTAAATCGCCACAGTTCTTCAGATGGATTAATGAAGCGTATTTGCCACAATGATCAAATAACAGTGAAAAGTACTATCATCCCATAGATGCAGTTTATCACCAAGATCTGCAAGATCCAGTATGATAGAGAAAAGCGCCAGAGGATTTACAGAGTATATATTTTCTATTTTGGTTGGAGTGAAACAGAAAAATGTGTAACTGAAATAAGAATGTCAGACTATGCTCCCATTCAAGTTAACAGCAAAAATTACCTTGAATTCATGGAAGTTAACATAGATCCAAAACCCATGCTATACCACCAGGCTATAAGCCATGACCTATATCTTGCCATCAGCAGCCATCTCCAAAGTAAAATTCAGATTGGAAGCTAAAATTATACTGGTTGCTTCTGGAGTATTTGAGAACTGTGTTATAAAACAGAAAACCACTTTTTCTCAGTCTGGGAGTGAAAGACCATCCCAAAGCCAAGACACCTACTGAAAATGCAAATGCACAGGCTATGGAGTGTTTGTTTAATGCTGATGTTTAGGCTTTCATTTGAAAAGTCTTAAGAAAGAATATTTCTTTTATAAACTCACCTTTTCACCTTAAGCATCTTGACAGTAAATAGGCTGTTCACATGTGCAGGCAGACAGGCTGCAGCTCCTGTAAGAGTCATCAGAAAGAGTTATGTCATGGCACAGTTCTTGAAGGTGCCATCTCTTTCTGTCCTATAAGTGCACTTGCTTTCCTCTTAATAGTGTTAAAATTGTAATAGCACCTAAATACTGTCAGTGCTTTGTATACCTTTAAAAAATGGTCCCTTTCCCAGTCAGTTTACAGTCTTGAAAAAAAAGTGAGAACATGGAAAAGGGAGAACACAAACAAACCAGGCGTCCCATTGTCCTTATCCCAGTTGAATGCCACGAGCTGTTCAATAATAACATCAAACAATTTTCAACACGTTGCCTAACAGAATGATTTAGTTATTGTGTCGGCTGCCACGTGTGTCCCTTCCACATGATGGTGCTGTCCAGTCTGTACAGCGGGTGGCTGCATCCCATCTCCTCCTTCCCAACACAACAGAGCCTCTTCTACCCTGCTGTTCTCAGCCTTATTCTGGATATTGGGAAGAAGGAGAGTAAAGGACACACGAGTAGCCTTCTATACAGTATCACCTCCAGCTGTGTGGGTGCTATATGTAATTACGCACACAACTTCTTTCCGAGTTTGCCTTCCACAGAGCTACACTGAAAAATGAACTGGAAATAGAAAAGCACAGAAAGGCTTTGTGCAGCTGAGTAATGATTTGCAATTAAGGACATTGGGACAAATATTTACAGAGTGAATTTTTACCTGTGCTCTTCCCAGTGTAGCTCAGGTTCTTAGCTTTCTCTAAGGGAAACCCCTATCCTTACTTAACCTTTTGCTGTTTTGGGTAATCAGTTTCCATACTTAATCATCCTAAACAGAAGTATTTTGATCTATTACATAGATCAAACTACAGTTTATGATTTAAAATTATGGAATACAATTTTGGCTGCGTATGAAAATATTACTGTAATGATAAACTACATAAAGTCATGGAACAAATTTTCACTTCTAAATGGTGCATTCCATTGTCTGTTTACAATTTATTGATGACATGTATCTTTCTCTAGAGAAATCTGAAAAAAATGTCAGAAAATCTCATATCCGGAAAGACCTCCGGAAAGAAAAGTCCAAAAACTTCAGCAAAGAAACAGAAAGGTGAAAAGAAAGCTAAGAAATCCTCAAAAGGAAAACAAACACCGCTTGGTACGTAAGGTACAGCAGCAATGAAACAAGCAGTAATCTGATCTCACATGACAGCTACCTTAATTATTTTGGGCCTATGCATTTAAGTAAACATGAGATAAATTAGAATATGCTATTTTATAGAAATAACTGAGAAATCTACAATTACTGCTTATGGGTTTGTAACCAGCATATGGAACCCCAGTGCTGTAATAAAGAATACTGCTTAATAGTCACACTGGCTATTGAGTCCAGTTTCTTTGTTTCATAACAAAGCTACATGGCAATACTTACGCTTTGTCTTGGTAGCTTAGATTTAATAGCTTGTGGTGTCATAATAACTACTGAATGGGAAATTGGGAAGCTTAATATATACTAAGTGAGGAGATTCACAAAAGCTAACAGCCAGGGAGAGAGCATCAGGCAGAGAGAAGTGTCCCCAGAAGCAGGAGCTCAGGATCACACTGTAAAGACACAGTAATATAGCTTGAAAGTATACCAGTCTCACAATTTAATTTCACAGTGCATTTTATTGTAGGTTTTTTTTTCCTGAGATGTGTTTTGATACTATCTCACTTGTCTCATTTATAACATGTATAGTTAATGAAGTGTAATGCTAATGAGCCTTTGCTATATACAAATATTTTTTTTCCAGTGATTCATGCACATTCCCAGAAAAGGTGGGAATGTACTCTTGCTTGGGTTTGTTTTGTTTCATGGATTTTTTTCTGCCATGACAGCCACCTTCCTGAAGTTGCTTTCACCTTTTAATCACCGTTTCCCTCCCAGGTGATTAATAGCTGTTGTGCTGCAGAGAATGTTCTGCACATCGGTGCTAATCTCTTCCTGTCCTGCCTTGCTGTGCGGTTTGCAGGCCCTCTTTCTCAGGAGCTGAAGAAAGCCCAGCTCCTGCAGCACCCTGCAACCCACAGCAAGAGGGGACCACTGTCTGCTCCTGCCTGCACCCCTCCAGTGCTGCTCCTGCCTGGTGTTAGCCAGCCTTGCCCATTTATCTGCTCTTCACATGACACGATTTACATGGTAATTGCAGGTGCTATCAGGTAGCAGGCTGTGCAGTTTTCAACCATGGATACTGCAGCGTGCACCACAAGATGACACATTTCTTATGGTTTCTCTCTTATGCAGACCACCTGCTCAAAATAAAAATGAGTTTTAAATCTCCATAGTTTCAAAATTATCTACATATCCTTAAGACACAGACCTATTTTATAAGTCTTTACTCATTCCTTGTATTAAATTTGAACTGAATAGAAATTATTTTTTGTTTCCCCTTAACAATTTAGTTTATAAATATATAGAGAGATATTTTAAATATTGCCATGACAAGGAAAGGACTGTGTATTTATAGTTACTTTGTTAGGAAGAAAAATGACTAGTAACATCATGTCATTATATTCCAGATATAAAAGATGAAGTTGATCTTTCTATGGCTAGTATAGGTAAGTGCTATGATGACTGGGCTTTAAAGCAGTGGTTTTTTAATACTTTAAGCATTTTGAAGCTTCAATGTTACTAATTCCAGGGAATGAAAAGGAAAGATTTTTTATGAATGAGAAAAATTATAAACTACTAAGAAACGCAGCTATTAGAGTAGTGATTACAGTACCACTGAGTAGCAGGCAGTGCAGCAAGGAATGCTGAAACAGGTGTGGGCTTGTAGAAGATGTTTTTATCTTGGGTTGAGAGGAGCTGGGATCAGGGGAAATAAATAGCCCCACAAGGCAATTATAGGGTGCAAAATGTTTGCATTTAGTAATAGTTAAGCAATTGAAAGAAAACTTTAGCCTGTGTCAAATCATTATTAGATCTGGTGAGAAGATTATTTTAGCATATCACTTGTGGGTTTTCATCATAGATATCAGTAGGCTTTGATTAACATCTTTTGCATTGTAGGGGAAAAATCTGCCATTTAAAAGTCACAAGATATCAAGCATTTCTTTTGGCTTATGTGTAAGAAAAGTGCAGTTTTAGGTGTGGCCACAGTTAGGAGTTAAAATACGGAATTATTTGAATTGAAATATATTCTTTTTTCTTAATGACAAAATAATTTTTAAATATTTTTTCACATTTCTGGTTGAATTTTTCTTCTGACCTGATTTGTGCAATTCTTCCTCAGATATAACTTAAATTGATAGCAATGTAAAATTTATCTATGGTTTACATGAACACCACAAATGGTTATCTTCTTAATTGGCTTTTAACAGTAAAGCTTGTATTGCTAAAAGCTACAACAATGTGGCAAACTGGGAATATATAAACTACATAATTTTAAAAGAAATCATGAATCACGTCTTCTTACATAATTCTATAAGCACACGAGTGGAAGTGAAAATTGCCCTCTGATTAGCATCACCAAAATGGCCAAGCTGCAATTAATGAAAATGGATAATAAGTGATCCCTCAGATGACGAAAGTGTTACTTTAAAAGAAATGTATTTTCAGTGTTAAGGTATACTTACTTTTGTCAGTAAGGGAGAATTTTACCTCCACCTAGTGGCAAATAAAGTTAGAGCTGTAATACCTAAACTATTGCTAGAAACCTGGTGCTAAAAGCAGGAAAATAATGCTACTATAAGCAGACACTGTGCAGGATTTAAACTGTATGTATGTTATCTCCCTACCATACGACCTGCAAGTGTTGTTTATTTCTTTAAGAGCTTCTTGATCCTCTGTGAAGTTCTCATAGCACTAAGAACTGTTGAGTACTACAAATGAGTAAATTTACTATTAGAAAAACAATGTGAAGCCTCTCATTAGATGTTACATACTTCTTACTGGAAAAGCAGTCAATAAAAATGTTCATAATAGTAAGAATTCCAATATCACCCCCTTATGTTCTACTGTAGAATCTATATTCTATAGTATAGAATCTATTATAATATAGTATTCTATAATATAGAATTTTAGTCCTTTAGACTAAAAGACGTACATATTTTAATTCTGATCATTACTTTGTTTTTTACTTGGACTTACAGCAATAAAGCATTGAAGAAAATATGCTCAGACTGTCTGTCCTACTCTGGTCCCAATAGTGACGTCTATTGTATTTTTGCTTCACTTTAATGCATGCTTGTATTGTTTCATTTGACAGTGAAACCTACATCTCTTTGAAAGGATTTTTTTAGCATTAACATTTGTGGACAAGGCTGCATGCACGACTCAGCATTTTAAAAAATAACATTATACAAGCTTCTTGAACAAACATCAGTTACTTCTGGTTAGAATTTTTGATGTATCAAAAAATATCTAATTGTTCAGGTTTAATTTATTTGAGATATGGGAAGAATCTTCTGAAAAAACGTCATGTAAGAATCAGCAAATTAGATTTATAAGTTTTCTGTAGGTTCTAGCTCTCCAAGTTGCACTAACCACATAACGAACTCTGAGGACTGCAATATGTACAAATTTTTTGTTCCTTTGCTCTCCTGTCCATTCTCTCCTGTGAGCCAACTGTGCATGGCAGAGGATGGAAATTGCATTCTGTTTTGGTGCACAGCTCTAGGTTTCTATCCTATGAAATTTAATTTGCAAAAGGAGGCCTTTTTTTTTTTTTCGCTCCAATATATCAAAATGTAAAGTATATCTGTAGTGTTGCAGTTTTTACTAGGGTTTGAGTCTACTTCCTAATGAGATCCTAATGAGGCCTCATGCTCTTTGCTGGGGTAACCTAGAAGTCCTGTAGGTCAACTTTTGTGGTTCCTTAAAAGGTTTAAATGTTTCAAATCACCCTGGAATAAACCCTTTTTCTAAGCCTGGTCTCATAGTCAAATTAATAAGCAAAAGAAGAACTGAGGTCTTGGCCTCATTAGCTACAGAGAGCAGATGTCAAAAACACAAGCACAGAGACTCTGGTAGATAACCAAGTCCTGGCTTGGTCTGCTGTTACCACCGGTGAGGTTGGACCAGATGGCTTTCAGAGGTCTTTCCCAATCAACATCTCTATGATTTTGTACTTTTTTGAAGCATTCACACAGAAATCCCAGAAATCTCTGAGATACCAAAAAGGAAAGTCATGCAAGAGTACAATTTGTGAAGAAAGTGAACCGATGGACTGTGCATGCTACAAAATAACTAGTGAATGCCAAGTAAATCATACTTGCTTTAGTGCAGGGTATGCCAGAAGCATCATACATATCATTAATTTTAGTGATGACTGTAGCAAAGCAGGTGCAGTGTAGTAGCAGCACTGAAAGATTTTAAGGGATAAATGTCAGATTCATCAAACATTATGTATTATATGATAGGCTAATGCAGAGATTTAGCTTCCCGGATGATGGAGATTAAGAAGGATTTATTGTTTTGTCAGTCCTTGTTGGCTTAGAGATGGCTTTTCAAAACATGCTGAGCCAGCTGGTCAATATCATCATTTTAGATGTATCAACTTCAATTTAAAGCATGCACAAGTAGAAAAATACCACCGGTTCTGGGAATTAACATAAAATATTAAATAACTCAACCTGAGCAAATAGAACAAAACAAAGATGACAAAAAGTATCACTATTATCAAAAAAGCCAGACCATTTCATTACATAAATATTCCATGTATACATGTCCTACATCTTTTCCACTTTCTAGTTTATCAAAAAGATGAGCATTCAAAGTGAACGCCTACTCGCCTCTCAGACAAAAGTGTAGTGGCCCTCAAGAAGAAAGCTCTTGCTGTGGCAGCTGAGACATACAGCACAAGCCTGCTGGCATGGCAGCATTGCAAAGGAAGAGTCTCTTAGGCAGCAGGATTCAATTAGCTGGGCCTACAGCGATGTTAATCACTTATATCTGTTATGTAAGACAGAAGGCAGAACATGTAATTTGGGAAGAACCAATGCCACCTACATAAAGCTGTCACACACCTAGCAAGAAACACCATATATTCAGATTGACTGTTTGCAAAGCACAGTCAGCGGTCACCTAATGCACCCAGCCTCACTAAGAACAGCAAAGGTAATAGCACTTGTACTGAATTAATACGAGTGAATTTAACAGAGGTCTGGTGTGTAGAAAACAACAGCTATATATTCTCCAGCAAACCTGAAAATAAAGTCTTGTATCTGACGAATCTTAGTGACCTTGTTTTAGTTTCACTGATGAGTTGAGAAATAGACTCAACTGCAATCTGAACGTCCAAAATCAGAAAAGCATCCTTATTTGGGATGGTATTGAAGGCTTGTTTAGATTAAACATTTGCTTAGCATGGCATTGCTCTCCAGGGAAGGACTAGAATATATTTATTTAAGGGCTCTCTTAAATCAGAGCCGTGCCATTGTGTCTTTAATGTATTAAAAACAGTCCATTAATGCCTCTTCACTAAAGCTCTTAATCACCCCTGTTGATCAAGAGGGGAAAAAAAGCTCATACTAGGAATAACATATTCATTAAGTAAGAAATGTTAGGTAGAGTCTTTGCCAAGATTAACAAGTGTCGTATAATTTGTATTCCATGCCTTACAAAATAAAAAAATATAAGCGGAGAGATTCAAAAGCATTCTGATAGGACACCATAAAGACCCAGAGTTATTAAGGTATACGTGTGTGTTTAAACAACACTCTGAATTTGTTTATCATGCAGTTTTGCTTTCTTTCATAGGCCACCCAGAAATCTTTCCTTTAGTCTTCACTACAAAAACACAAGAAATTTTTAATTGCCGAGTTCTTGAAGATGTTACAGAAGAAAATTGTTTCAAGCTTATTAAAAAAGAGGACATAATTCAGGACCTGAAAACAAGAGCTGCAGTTTCTGATTTCCACCCTGTTAAAAAAGTTGTCCTCGTACGTAGCTTATTCTGTTTTCACTTTAAGTCTTCATGCTCTCAGAGTATATATTCTTTTAATGAAAAGGTCTGTCCTTGTTTGACTGAGTAAATTCACCAATGCTATAATATCCAAAGGCTATAGGTCATGGATCACTGTCAACTCAAAGTTTGTCATGGCTTACCATACAGTTTTGTTTTTTTTTACTAACTTTAGATTGAAAATATGCTAAAAGTAACATAATTATTGCTACCTTTGATTCTATGAACAGGCAAAGTTTCACATATTTTGGCTTCCCCAAATTCATGGCCTACTTATTGAGAATCATTAAAACAGTTTCTTTTCTGTTTAATTCTCAGTATGAAAAGATTAGTTTAATCCCAGACTTTTTTTTTTTGTTACAAAATAAAATCCAGCTTTTCAATTAGCACAGGAAATTCTCTGTTAAGGCCACACGATTAACCAGAGACATTTAATTTACACTAGGCTTATGTCCATTTTAGATGTTATTTGCTTACAGCTTTCCACTAACTGTTTTAATTAAAATAGGAATATCCAGGGGAAGAACTTTTGGTAGTTTTTGATGCAAATTTCCAGTATGGACAGAACTTTTACCTTGTTGCTTCTGAGGAAGCCAAGGAAAACCTCCTAAAGGTAAGAAAATCCGAGATTACCATGGCATTCTTCTATCTATGAGTATTTCAGAATCTTGTCTCAAAAGTATACTTCAGGAATGGTTTTGTATTTGTAAGCATCTGATGTGCTTAGCATGCCAGAATGTTTCTCTAAAGGTTAATTTGATAATAGAAAAATATGTTTATCACTGTAAAAATATCTCTTATACTGAGAGAAACTGAGTCAAATTTTTGTATTTTACTTCAGAGGGCCAGTATAATCCCCATTGCTGCATTTTTAATCATAAGCATAAGCATTAATTTCTTCTGCCAAGACCCAGGTTTCTAAGACAGACATAAAAATAAAAGATTATATTATACTGGGCATCTTCAAAGAAATTTTATACCTACTTTTCACAGTAGGTATGTATATATTCTTCAAAACATACTTTGAAATCTTGTGTTCTAAATAAGTCTAGATATATTTAAGATTTCCCCTTGTGCATTGCATCATAGGAGAAGGTTTATGGGCAGATTGTATAATTTTTTCAACATGAGTTTGTCACCCAGCATCAGGAGAAGTAACAATTAACAGAAAAGCAAATTGCAGTTCCAGGCAGGAGGGCCTAATGTAGAAAATCACTATAAATTCTTTTTATATAGCAGTGATTTGCTTTTAAGACAGCAGTCTCTCTTTAGTAGTTTAATACTTAATATGCAATGTTTATCATTAAATTCTAATGCATAAATGAATGAATGGGACCTAACCCAGTCGTACTGAGGGGGACCATATAGCCAGGCTTACTGCATTGAGAAAAAAGTAAAGAAATGTGTCAATGAAGACTGAAAGCTGGGTTTCTAGTTCATACTTACATTTCAGTAGCAAATTTTTGAATAAGCACAATCCTACTGTTTGATGTCACAGCCTCCAGAAACTACTGAAGAAAAAGAAGAAGAAAATGGAGAGGCAACCCTGGAAGTCCATCCTTATAAGCCTCCTGTCCACAAACCTTGGGTTTCTCTTGGCAGTGAAAAGGAAGTTGAAGAAGAATCTGTTAAAGACACTGTTGCAAAGGTCAGAATCAACAGATGTTACTCAATCAAATAAATATCACAAGCCCAAATTAATTTTAAGTTCCCTGAAAAAAAAACACCTCAGAAAATTGAGTGTTTCGATTCTAGTTTTTCTTGGGATCTTTCAAGAAAACAAAAAAAAGGAGAGAGACCTAGCTTAACTCTTAACAAAAACTGGTACAGAGTTTTTTTATTATTTTTTTTTTACAACTTTGTTCTCTTTAAATTCTGCAAATAAGGCATGTGAAACTGTATTTGACATATCTGCCTCTTCATTGTAATTCTAAGGACATAGTTCTTTGTCCATGGAGCCCAATGAACTCTACCTCAGAATAAATGTTACCTTCTACTGGTTATTACAAACTGACTTTACAGAAAGACCTATTTGATTAACTACACCTACAGATTATACTGAGAAAATTATCTGTCCAAAAAGTAGATCCACTCACAGATGTGACCTAACTTGTGACATCTGCAAGCATGTCCTTCAGTTACTGTCCTTACATAACTTTTACTCAATACGTAAATCCCTGTTCAGGGAATACTGGCTAGGTTTTGATAGTTCTCCACAGCTGGACACCTTGCTTGTACTTAAAAAGAATTGTTCTAAAACTAATTCACAGTAACTGGATTCAACATACTTTTACAGCCTAAGTATTCTGTATTCCACCTGCTGGCAAGGTCCACTTAGACGTATTCTCAGCTTACATTCCTTCGCAGTTCCGTGGGATGTGCTGGGAAAAGGTACCTGGCTAGGAATCCAAGACAAAGCAATACCTCTCCACTGCCCAAAATCAAGTGCCTACCTCTTAATGTGGGTAGAAGTCAAGCCACATCCCTTCTTTCTTCCTAGTTATCACAATAAGGAAATTCTTCACTCAAATTTTTGTGGATCCTCCTTGGAGTACTTTTGTCTCCCTAGGCACTGCAAGGAGAGCTGAAATACCTCCCCCCAAAGCTGAGAACTGCATTAAGGGGGAAGGAATGAAAAGTTAGGTCTTAGAAGTCCAGTGCAGTAGTACATAAGAACTCCTACAAATCAGTCCTTCAATTAAGGGTGTGGTTTTGATATTGCATGAATTGGAAAATGCAATTCTCTTATCCTACTAGCAATAATTCAAAACATTACCTAAAGGCAACTTCTTGTTTTAGAAATACAAATCTGTCTCCTATTACACAGGTTATTTATATGAGCATTTCAGGATTTCAAAATGCAGAGATACAAGTAAACTCAGCATAGAAATCACCAACAGAACTAATTCTACAGTTACATGAACACTGCCATTTTACAGAATGAACTTCCCAGAAACTTCCTCCTCTGCTAACTACAGAAATATCTCTTTTTCAGATTAAGTATAGGATTTCTCGAGTACGCAGGAAGTTTGGTGCACCAATTACATTTACTGATAAGAATGCTTCACATGTAAAAGACGGTTATATTGAATGCACGTCCTATCAAGACAAAGCTTTCAGTATTAAAATGCTTGAAAAAAATGTAGGTATACAAATGGTTCCGAAAGTAAGAGAAGCTAGTACTCAGACAATATGGTAAGTGTGAGAAAATATTTATCAGATTATTTATTAAACTAGGTGCTATTTATTAAACTCAACGAAAGTTACATAAATTAACTCAACTCTTCTGGAGTCACTCAGTTGCAAACCAATTAAGAGAATAGAACTGGACACTCTGTTTGCATTTTTCTTCTTTCAACTCTTTTCCAAATAGTTTTTCGAAAAACTGATTATACTTAGCTTGTGATTTTACACATTACATGGATTTTTTTTTCTTTGAAATTGTTTCTGTACTTACTCACATTCAAATGTATTCCAATGGGTTAGGACCTATCCAAAAAATGCAGCCACGCAGTATTTTCCTAGACAGCTGTCAAATGAAGAAAGAGAAGAGAATCTGTCATCTGAAAAGCTGAAAGAATTTTTTACATCAGTACATTTAAGGTAAAATTACTGCAGCAATACGCTTTAAAGGCTACCTGAAATAATATAGAATACAAGCAAGAACTCTTGTCTGAGTGGAGCATTGGTCTGGCCAAATACTTTTTTTTTGTTTCTATATAGTTTATTGCCTTTCTTTTTTCTCTTGCTTATTATTTTAACACTAACAAATATTAATGTAACATTTGTTTCTATGAAAATTAACATGAAGCCTATGCCATATAAATATGCATGTTGGTTTAAATAAATATTAGAAGCGTTAAAGTTGATGGTGATACATCTTTTTGAACAAGCTGCAAAGCTGATCTTTCAAACACTGCTCACTGAAGCAGAGGCTTACGCAGAAGAGCAAAGGTGCCCTCCTACAGCCCTTAGTCATGGGACAGGTCACGCTCACTGACAGTTTTTGCACAAGAATTGGACAACTTCACTGTACTTGATCCACACGAACTAGAGTTAAATTCTTGGTACAATTAGTTATTTATATCTCAATGGAAGAGGGTTTTCTTACAGTGATGCATCACTGAGGAATTAATACTTTATTTTTTTTAGTACTGTGGTCATAATTTTGAGTAAAACAAAAGCTGCCTCTGTACAGAAATATTTGTGATTCTGCTACTGAGTAGTCACACCTGGATTATTGAAAGTGTTAACCGTTCTTTTCACTAAACAGAATGGAAATCGCATTGCAGCAAAATGAAATTATGAACGCTTTTTTTGATGACTGGAAGGCACTAGCAGAAGATGAAAGCAGTTCTGGTGGCAAGCCAGATATTTATCTTAAAGCATACCAATCATTCACAGATCTGCACTATCTCAAGGACAGAACTATTAGCTGCGTTTGCTGGCATCCAACCATTTATGGTAATGCGGTTAAAATACTGATTTGAGATTCGAATGACATGTATTATACGACAGCTATAAAATATGCATCTTTCATAAAATTATCAGCCTTTACATTTAAAAAAAAACAAAACTGATTTAGAATGTCTGAATTGCTGATATGAGATGAAGTGAAAAATGAACTCTGTAGAGTTCAGACAGGCCACGCAAAGTTCCTCACACTAACATATCAGCGGAGATCATTGGAAAGGGAAATTTCTCCCTTACGAGGCTCATTTAAGTGGGGCTCCAACTGTGCCAGGTCCTTCTGGTGGCTCTGCCTACCACTGCTGTTCTACCCATGGCTGGTTCTTGTACCATGCCTAGTACTTGGGAGGAACGTTAGAGCCACAACAGGACATGGCTCTGCTGAGTGCCAGAGAGCACCACAAGGCATAGTAAATGTCTCCTCCTACTCCCTGCGATGGATTATTTCTCTACAAAGGCACAATTAAGTTCTACATAAATGTCTTAGCTGCACAGCATACTAATAGCCAACACTGCAGCCTGTGTGGGAAATCAATTCAGCTACAAAAAATTTGATTTTGTGATGGGTGGCCAGGACTATATGCCTGTCGCATCATTTCAGGTGCAGTATTACACCATTAAGGAGTAGTAGCAAAGAGTTGAATTTTATCCTGATCCTTAGGTTCTACCATTCACTGTTAAATAACTTAAGTAATAAAAATAATTTCCTCAAAGTTGTAAAAAGAAAAATACAAATACATGGTTGGGTTTTTTAGTTTTGGGAGGTTTTTTTGCTTTTTTGCACTGTATTCAGAAGGGAAAAATATGTCATTTCAAATACATAGCAGCATGTTGAAGCTTGAATTGTTTCTTCTAAGAAAATTAATTTTCTCTCTCAATCAGGGATTATAGCGGTGTCAGCAAGACAGCGGCTTTTTTATGAAGAGCAAGTTAACCTTTCTGACAAATCATCGCTGCAGCAATCAGTAATACTTTTTCTGAGTTTTTTCGATCCTATCCACCCTCAGGTATTTAATCAGGACTTTTAAATATGCTAAGTGCTTAAATACCAAGAGAGCAAACAATCAGTGTGACTGTATTTCTCAACTATTTTGTTTTCCTTCTTTCTAGTTAATGTTGCAGTGTCCTGAAGACATTTACTGCTTTCAGTTCAGTCCAAGTGATCCAAATATCATTGTTGGTGGCTGCATCAATGGACAGGTGTTAATTTTTCTGTTGAAGAATAAAATTGGCTATTTCTGTATTTTCTTACAGTATAAAAATAAGGGTGAAGAGATGTACCATAATAACAGTGTCCCAAGACAGACATAGTCTCAGAAATTCTCTGATTGTGTACTGAAGTTATGCCTGGTTATTCCACAGTTAAGCCATTACTGTATGATGATGCTTTGCAGTACTGATAAATAAGTCAAGCTGTAAAGACTCTTTTTTGTTGTTGAGACAGGTGTAGTCTTTCAACTGATTGCATTAGACTGAACAGGAAATGCTTTAAAGGCTTCATAAATTCTAGTGCAGAGAGTGAAATTCTTAGAGTCATAGAGTTGTCCAGGCCGGAAGGGACCTCCAAAGGTCATCTAGTCCAACCTTCCCACAGTCAGCAGGGACACCCCCAACTAGACCAGGTTGCCCAGGGCCTCGAAAAAATTATTCTTTTTTCCTGAAACCCTCCATTAATTCTATTTGAAAAAAAGGTGTATTAATATAAAGGATGAAATAATTTGTAATATACACAATTTTTATTGTAGATTGTACTGTGGGATATTTCTCAACATGAAGAAAAGCTGCAAAATGCAAAAACTGATGCTGATGGAGTGAAGATGTCGGCTACTGATACGGTAAATGCTTCCATTCCAAATGTATTGCAGTATAACTGTATAGAACACAAGTTACTGGGTGAAAAAAGGGTGAAGGGATCCCGACTCAAAACAGAGGAGTAGATAATCTTTACAATGAGAGACTAGAAAGGATAAGAAGCCTAATGAGGTCATGAAATAAACCCATTATCACAATATAATGTCTACCGGATTAGTCCAGCTTAATAGCTTTACTGCATTTTGTGCAGAGTTGGACTTCAGTAAGACTGTTCTTTAATGGGCACCAGCATATACTCAACTCTTGCCTACCGAAGCCTATCAAATACATATAGCATTTGTTGCTGAACATAACACTGAAAATGATTATGGAAGATTATAGACAGAAAAAGGTATCATGGAAGATGAGAAGCAGATTTCAGAAGGAGCCGATAAAGGGGATAAGCCAAAGAGAAACCTAAGAGCAGAGGAGGAACTAATAACATAAGGGGATGTGTGTGCACCTGTGGAGGCATGTTGGAATTCTTGTAAGAGCTCCATATCTAATGGTCTGTTTTGATGTTTTCCTTTTTTTTTTTTTTTTTTTTTTCCCAAATGGAGGGTTTTATATAGGTCAGCAAAACAGACATTTTCAGGGAGGTTTCTGTCCTACTCAGAGGATCAGGCTGGTGTAATGTCCTACGTTTCGAGCAGCTTCATCAATTTAACGATCACACACACATAAAACATTCTGCTTTTTTATTTGAAAATACTACTTTAACTATTTGTTTACTATGTGGTTTGTATTGCTCTTTTTATTGTTTTTTTTTTTTTTTTTTTTTTTTTCCCCAAATGGAAGGTATTAGATGCCTAGAAGGTTCTATAAACTGATCTAAAATATGTGAAGAAGCATTAACAGTATGTAAAGTAACCTCTTTTCTTTGACAGGTCTACTACTGCATTTTGAAAATAGACTAAGATATCTTTTTTTAAAACCTTTCTAGCCATCACTTACCGAAGTCCAAGAGTGTAGCACAGAGCCACCTCTAGTGAGATTCTGCACAGTCTCTTCCATACAGTATAGTCATAAAAAACCAGTCACAGATATACATTGGCTGCCAGATTATTCTGAGGTGAGTTTAAAAATTAATTTTTCTTCTTTTTATTGTTTTTCTAATCTACTACCTCAGAAATCAGTGCAAACTCAGGATAAAATATTAAAGATCAAATTATTTGTAATAGCCTTCATAATTTCTCACTGCATTTTCTAAATATTAAATAATCTGGTATGTTGTGTTCTCAGCCTGATATGAACCTGGTCATACTGGAAAGAATTTCTGTCACCTTACTGAAAATTATAATTCAAAATTATAATAAGCCTTCCATATCTAAAATACGTTGAATTGAATTGAGTAGTCCAGCCTGCCACCAAGAATTCAGAGAAATAATTTCAATTACCTAAATATCTAGGTATCCAAGAATAGTGTGACTGTAGTTACCTTATTTCTTCTAGGTGCTGCCTGTATATTCAAAACTTATATTTTCTGTGACAGTTTTAAAGCTCTGTAATATGATGTAGGATCTATGTAGTTAAAGGGTTCAACACTATTACAGGAGTATTGGGTTCTCATTTACTATTAAAGTACTGCAAATTGTTGCCCAAATTAATTTGAAATGCAAATGCAAAATGAAATGCAAAATTAAAAAGCGGGTCAAGAGGAAGAAAACTGAGATGCCTAGAAGGTTTATACAAATTAATATATCAATAATTTTTGAAAACAAATTTTTTAAGACTTCATAGATACTGCAGGCCTTGGCAACTTACCAGAGAAGCGAGGAAAAGGGTCCACATATGTCATAAAAAGGAAACTGATACAATTGTTCATTACTAAGTTATGCTACAGTAGTACTCATGGATACGAATTAATACCAGATGTAAACATGGAGAAAGCGATTGGATGGCAGAATGTTGTTGTGGTTTTTGTTGTTTGGGTGGGTTTGTTTGGGCTTTTTTTTTGCCAAGGTTTAGGCTCAGAAAGCTGTTCTCCTGTTCCTCTGGGATAACAGATACAGGAAACTAGTGCTTGATAAATAACACTGGCAAAGGAATCGCTTAGTCAATATTTAGCAAGATGTACTAAGGCATGCTTTTTGTTATGTAAACATGGAATATATGTCAGCCTTTGCACAGCATTGCATTTTTTATGGCACAGTTCCTAAAATCACCATTATTACATATCAGTGGAAAAGTATTCAAAGTTATATCCAGAACCTAATCCAGTTTTGCACAGTTGTGAGACTACCATTTTGACTCCAGGTAAGCAACTCATGAATGAAAATAAGAGTAGGATCTAGACTAAAAAAATGAGGTATAGCTGAAACTTTGGTTGACAAGTACAGTTTTAGCCCAAAATATATATGTTTTGCATATACTGGAAATAATGTCTGATCAGGGCATAGCCTGTAATCACTTGTTCCCCCTCACCCCCCGACCCCTTTCCTTTATTTTTCTGAATAAATTAAAATAAGGTTTGTATAAAACAATGACTACTTGGTAAATAAGTACTATAAAGTATTCAGAACCTCATATACACAAACTAAACTATTAATAATTAACACTTGAAGGTACCACTACCATCCCACAGCGTGGTCTAGCTGAGTGATAGTTTAAGAGAGATGACCCTTGGTGTAAACTTGGTGAAGATGTATCACTCCCACTACACTTAACTATTTGAGATAGATTTCTCAATGATTTGCTCTTTGGTTAAGCTGGATAAAAAAAGTCACAACTATGGCAACCTAAGGAGGGCCTGACTTGCAGTGGTACCAGCAAGCATTTAGCCTGCTGATTTCATTTGGAATGTTAGGTGTCTAGCAGGCAAAGCTGGTATCAGTTCATTTGAAGAACATGTATCAAATGTCTTGACTTTATAACTACAGGTTAGTAACTCCTGATTCTCAAACCTTACCCAAGCAGAAACATTGACTTAATTTCTAGAAGCCCATTTTATGTGTTGAAGTACTTCAAAAAGTGTAATTGTTGTCTGTCATCATCTTCTCCCCCTGTAATAATTATTACTGTTATTTTTAGGCCAACCAAACAGGCACTACTTTTGAAAACAAAGCTGGAGTTCGCGTGCAGCTTGTAACCTGCTCCCCTGATTGGTAGGTACAATACTTATTCTACAAGATGCCTTCCAGTTTCCCTTGGAAAGCTTTATGGAGCATACTCTATGATTTAACTAGCACATTTCTGGATTCCTATCAGCCTATCCTGAACAGCTGAAATTGTGTATGCAGAAGACAAGCACATCGAGTTCTTGGCCAGTTAAGTCCTTTACACTAACAGCATTAAGGGTTCATTAACTGAAAAACCTCACATGTATACATTTATATTCTTTGTATATCTTAAGAGGCATCTTGGTCACACAAGCATTGGCCTGAAGAGCCATACCACCACTCTTACATTGATTATGTGACTCTTGCACAAAAAGCTATTAATGATTTTGAGGCCAAAGAGATACTGTGAACTATATTCAAACTTGGAGACTTAGCTGGAAAAATTATTCTATATGAATCTCTTCTTTTGTGGACTAAATAGTCATGTAAGTTTTCAGTAAATATCCTGTGTGAAGACTAGCAAGGGGGCAGAATGCAAAAAGTGGAAATAAATGTTTAGCTTTCACGGTGGCAAAAGGCTTAAGGCTTTAAGGCTGCATGGCTGGGCCCAGTCATATATTTTCTAGTCACATGAAAAGGAGAGTCAGAGGCAGCAAAATTTGGAAATTATACAAAGTTATTTTTCCTAATCAAAACCAGAGAAGACTTCAAAGAAGAATGATTGCAAATACAATTGTTACTAAGCTTGCATTGTAATACAAGTAATGAACATGGAAGAAAGAATTTAAAGTACTCACGCACCAGGGCTCCAAATTAAAAACATTACCAAAAGTAAGAGCAGGGGAATCTCTGTAATGTCACCCATGATGCACACAGGCCCCGAGCAACTCCTGTTAGAAAAGGGAATGAGATGTCAGCAGTGAGGAAAATTATTGTTGTCTATATCAAATCTATGAGTGAATGTCCAGAGTACAGCAACAGGAACAATCAGAAGGCTGAAAATTCCATTGAGGTAACAGATCCAAGATTCAAGGCAGTAGGACCATTTCCTGTAAATATCAGCAAGTAAATCAGTACACGCAAGAATTGGGAATGAGGTTCTATACAGATTACCAGATCACCTGCTACAGAATTCTGTCCAGTTCTCTGATCCTCCAGGAATTTTACCCAGGTAGAATCAGTAACTTCACCCACTAACTTTCCATCAGCAAACTGTATGAATGTTATCTGGCTGCTTTGGTATAGTTAACAACTGACTAAATGGTGAATAAAGGAATACATGCCATCATTTACAAAAGAAACAAGTATCTAGTATTTGTCTGCTTTTCAGAGTCTCTATGCAAAGTTTGAAGATGAAATGCTAAAAAAAAAAAAAAGGACTTTAAAATGCATGGACAACTGCATCTGACTTTGAAGCAAAAACAGGGAATAATATTATATAATCATTTTGCAGCTCAGTACTATTTTGGGATATTCCAGCCACCAAGCTTCCATCTGAGAAAGTAAGAGAAGAGGAAATGTTTGATATGCCCCTTCATGTTCCAGATACCCTTAATCAGCAAGATCTCTGCTGGAAACCTCTCATAAAGGTACTGTAAACTACTATAGAACAGAAGGATCAAGTAGATATGGCCAGAACTCCATCGGAATGTATTCCTTTACTTCTCAGCCCTTTAATTTTTCCAGCAAATTATGACTTGCTTGTGACTTTCCTTGTGATTATAAAATGAAAGATTTCAGTGTTCCTCTGAAACTTCAATAAAATGCATTTTGAAAAGCTAATTCACAAGAAACAGCATGACTGCCTCTTAAAAACTGCAGTAGGTGCAAAAGTAGTTGTATTAATAGTGTAAGTTCCTGTCAGCCTTTTCAATCGCTCTGCTGTCTATCTCAATGAGTCAAAGTGTTGAAACTTGGTCATGATCAACAGACCCATAACTACTGGCAACACAACAGTCAGTCTGATGGTCATAGCAGTTTGTGAAAAAAGTAAGGCTGAAAATAACATTATGTAAAAGAAAAAAAAAATAATTTGCACCTGCTGATCTGTGCTGCCCAGAATAGCCGCAGCTGGTACAGTTGTTAAATGCAAGAATTTTTTGGGTTTTTTGCTACAAACATGGCAAAATCCTTACAGGGAAAGGATAACAAGAGAAACCACAGGTTTGCATTTTCTCTATGCTTGTACGTGAGGCAGCAAATGCTGTTCATGGAGTATTACAAAGACACTGCAAATTGAAAAGACCTCTTCCATTACAGCCAAAAGTCATTTAGTATTGTACCTCGAAGATCTGAACAAAATGAGTTTGCAAATGCATTTTTTCTGAACAGATAAACCTGCGTGAAAGCCATACCAACACAGAGTACAGTCCCGTCAGAATTAGTTTAAGGGAACTGCATTATCATTACAAAACCTCAGGTAATATTTTTAATACACCTTATTGAGGAAAATGTTTTTAATAAGCTTATATTTCAGTATATACATAATAAAACCTAAGCAACAAAATGTATAGCTAAATGCCTCCAGGGAAAAAGCTTTCTTAAATGTACTGGCAAAGTGCAACATAGATGTATTGATTACAAAGATACGTACTTGAATACAAAAAGAGCAGTTCCGTATCCACAGTAAATCTTCCAGGTTTCATTCCATAGCCCCTGCAAGTCCCCCACCCAGTCTCTTCATCCCTGAAACGGTATGTCCTCTTCAGTCCCTACAGAATACTACTTTTAGAAAAATAGTCCTGGAGTACCAGTATATATTGTAGGTATGTCTGTAATGCTTTGTATAGAGGTATCACTCTTCACTACAGAACGTGAAGTTAGCAGTTCACATTCCGAAGAGATCAGTTCTCACTTTGGTCCTTTGTGGTTGGGACACGCTTACTGATCCCTCTGTAAAGTTGGCAAGCTGGCATACAGGCAAGCCCAAGAGCTGGACTACCTGAGAGGGTGACTGCAAACTGTGCACCTTTCTGGCAGCTGAGCTGCTGTGGTGTAGCATGGGAAGCCCTGACTTCAGAGAAGCTGCAGTAACAAGATTTCACCAGGAAGCAGTTAACCTGCAAAACTGCTGCTTTACTTGGTGTTTTTGTCATGTCTCTCCTTGAAATTCCCCTTATCCATCAACTACCTTTATAAGACAAAGGATTTGCTTAGTTGGAGAAATTCCAGTGTTTAATAAATAGATGTATCCGTACTGTTTCCCAGAGAAGATGCAATCTCTGAACACACCAGAAGTCCCTGACAAAGAGAGTCCATATACAGAGATGAGTACTCCTTCCAGCAAAAATCTGAAAGCACCACAGTACATCTCTGCTAGCTTTTTTGTTGGAACTGAAGTAAGTGAAAATAATAGATTACTAATTAAAATGTTAATCCAAGATATACAAAAGATTGAACAACAGAGTTTTCACAAATGTATGGATTTGCTTCTTTTCTTCAAGTGTTAATTAAAAAGATCTTTCTGGACGTGCCACATTTTACTCCCATTTTAATGCATTTACCTACCTGCTTAAAATAATAATGAAACCCCAATATTTGGTTGACTATGAACCCTTATTCACAGGCAGAATTAGAAAACATTTCCAAAATGTGTTGAACTTAACAATCTGCCATCAGGAATCAGACAATATTTCCTTATTCCAAAACCTGTAAGATCAGTAATATTTTTTTAATGTTTCCCCAAATGTCAGGTGAAAACATTTATACTACAGTTTGCCCCACAACTTATTTCTACTTTAGGAAGTCCCAGCTATTCATAGCTCTCTACCTACTACCTACCCAACGTATCTAAAATTCCAAAATCTTTCCCAGTTTTAAGTTCATATAGAAATGAAAATTTGCCTTCTAGCTACCTTTTTGCTTCTGGTCACCTTTTCCCCAAACACTGGAGCAAAGCAGGAACTATAAAAACCAAGCACCTAATTCTGCAGGAAGGACTGCCACTGCGTACATACAGCACGGGAAATAAAGCTGTTTGGGCAATACATCACTGAAAAATTGTGATCAAAAATTTTAGCTTTTTTTCAGTCATTGGCTGCAAATTTAGCTTTTAATTTACTCAGAACATATTTAATGATGGTTATAACTAAGTCAAGTCACAGTTTAAAAACAAGTCACTTTAATATAAGCCACCAACCTCTAACGTTAGAATTTACTTTACTTTTCTGGCATCACAGGATGGAGAAATTGTTTATTCTGACTGGAAAATGGAAATCAAAACTGACTTGGCAAAAACAGTTAGTAAGTTCAAGTTTCTCAATACCTGTTTAAAACGTAATAGATCGCTAACTTTAAAATATGTGCACCTATACTCTGTCATTTTCAGGTTCTTGCTCATCTGCTGTAATAGTCTACCTCACTGATGGCAGCAGGATTTAGCAGTACACCCTCTAAAGTACAACCAGTTTGGCTGTCATGACAGAATAGCAAAAACACTCTCCAGTATCACAGCAGCATCTATGTACCTATTGGCACAAATCATGGAAGTAACTAGATTTGCAGCAATTCTAACTCCTATACCTTGTGATCAAAAAAAATGAGGCTAGCATCTTTGAAGCCTGTGCTGGATCCTGCACTCTTGTTTCCCTCCTCTCCCCCATTAACTCCCGTTGTGAAGATAATCACTAAACACCAGTTACAAGCAACTGCTTTTTTTCATTCCATTAGGTCAGAAATACGCCATCCACACTGAAAGTGTCAACACTCTCCAGAGATCTCCATTTTTTAAAGACATTGTTCTAAGCATTGGAGGCCGGAATTTTGCCATTTGGAAAGAAGGGGTTACAGTAAGTTACTTTAACAGAGCTGTAACATAACTGATAGATATACAAGACAGAACTATAATAACCTCAGAGACCATATTTTCTGAAATGCTTGTAAGTCACAAAGCTTCATCGTTCAGAAATAAATTTAGTATAAGAAGAGCTTTTCCTTTTTCTTCAGATCAGAAAACTATTGTAGAAATAGCTTTGTAAACTTGCCTTTTACAGAAAAATGAAGTGACCTTCTTTAATTCCAATCTTGTAAAAACTGTAGCTTCTCAACATATTATACCTTCTGCTCCTGAGGAAACTGAAGAATAAAGACAATGTGTGCTTAACAGGTCTGAAGAACTCGTATTTAGGACACAGTCTTTTTTTTCATGATATGAAGACACAGAAACATGGGGGTTTTTTAATAGTTCTCATGTAGGAACCCAAGTTAGTTGCACCTGGCAAAATCTCAATACCACAGATTTTAACAGCAGATAGACAGATTACCTTCATAGACTGGAAGTGAAATATCAGGTTTTTTACTTCCCCACAATTCTCTTTATCTGCAGAAAATGATACCAATTTTGCCATTGATATAATTTTTATAATAGGATCATTTAAAGTGTGAATGTCCTCAAATGACAGGAGATTTGAATTAATGAATGAATATTACTGTTTGATTGCTGGGTCTATCTTTTATTTAAAAAAATTAAGACAGGACCAATCCTTCAGTTGAGCTGCTCTGCAGGAAGATATACTGCGGGACAATGGTCCTTAACAAGACCAGGAGTTTTCTTCATTGGCAGAGATGATGGAAATATAGATATTTGGGACTTACTGAAGAAAACTTATGAGCCATCTCATTTCCAGAACATCTCCGAATCAATGATCACTTTCATCAGCCCCTGTATTGCCTCACGTATGTTTATGGTGATTACACCTTACTGTGCCCCCCTGTTCACAATATGGCCCATGACTCTATGGCACACTAATCTTGTTACAGATGATTTTTATATAATAAATACATATTTCCACTAATTTAATAATGCACTGTATATACAAAAGCACATACATCAGTTCTAAGTGTACTACCATGGCAAAAAGCAACTGAAAACATTTAATTAAAAAAAAAAAAAAAAAGAAAAAGAGTTTGAAGAACTATAAACTTTAAAGGGAATTTCATTTGTCAAGAAAATAAGAGAGCAATAAGGCTGCTTTTTTGCTGCAGCAAACAGTAAGCCAAAAAGACCACAGCAAAAATGAACCCTCTGTAGCTCATGTTTGGGTGGAGGTACGTGTTACTGTTGGAACTTAGATTGTTTATATGATTTTTGTCAAATATCTTTCAGCAGAGCAGCATTTTTTAGCTGTTTCTGATGATCTTGGAGTACTGCACATTTTGGAAATCAGTCAGGCACTAAGTGACGCTTCGAGGAATGAGGTTGGTAAGAATTTTTATAAATCTCTGTGACAATTTATCCTGAAAACTCCAAAACAAAAACAGGCCTGCCTGGCAAAACTTGCTTTCAAATGGATGGCAATTGATTTGAGATCAGTATGGCTGGAAGAACTATAAACTTTAAAGGGAATTTCATTTGTCAAGAAAATAAGAGAGCAATAAGGCTGCTTTTTTGCTGCAGCAAACAGTAAGCCAAAAAGACCACAGCAAAAATGAACCCTCTGTAGCTCATGTTTGGGTGGAGGTACGTGTTACTGTTGGAACTTAGATTGTTTATATGATTTTTGTCAAATATCTTTCAGCAGAGCAGCATTTTTTAGCTGTTTCTGATGATCTTGGAGTACTGCACATTTTGGAAATCAGTCAGGCACTAAGTGACGCTTCGAGGAATGAGGTTGGTAAGAATTTTTATAAATCTCTGTGACAATTTATCCTGAAAACTCCAAAACAAAAACAGGCCTGCCTGGCAAAACTTGCTTTCAAATGGATGGCAATTGATTTGAGATCAGTATGGCTGTACTCTCTAAAGATCACCTGTAGCAAAGCTGGCTTTTCACAGAGCTCAGACAGGAGGCACCTAAAGGAAACCTGGGCGACAGTCAACAGAATTCCACTGCTCTAACCCAGCTACATGAAAACACAGTAAAGAGTTCAGCACTTTTTGCCACATGCATAAAATGACACATGGTTTCATGCATTAAAACACTGCTATATAGTGCACAGTAACGTAAACATACTGAGTTTCTCTTTCTTTACACCTGCTTGTTCATGTTTGCGTCGGTTTTTTCCCTGTAAATTTGGTACTTCATTTTACACATCTTAGTTTCTGATTCTAGCTTAGTTCAAGCACAGTTTACAAACTGTTACTAGCATTACCATTTATTAATTCTCTTTTGAAATAAGGACTATCTGTACCAAAAAGCCATGGGGAAAATTGCGACGCTTCTAATTTCTCTTTATTTCCACATCATTTTCAGTTGTTCTTTTCCCCACCTCCCAGCCAAAGATCAAGCTAGTATTTTCATCTCGTTCAGTCTAGCAGTCTTGCCTGATACCTAGTCTGTTATTTTCACATCTCAAAATCTTCTTCCCATCCTATGCCAGTTTTAATTTAAGTTTATGTATGCACTTAAACAGTTTACAAAAATCCCATAAAGGTTTGCTATGTGCAAAGCTACATAGTGTAATACCGAAGTATGGCATTTTATGGTTTCTTTGTGCCTGAAGTTGGGTCAGTGAGGATTTGGACTAAGTTAGTGAAATCACTAACCTAAAATTGGTTTAGTTATTTCAGTGCAAGTTCCTGAAGGATGATCTACTCAGATTCAGTATAATAAAAATTATTTAACCCCGTGCATATTTGTACCCAAAATCAATTGGTTTCAGTCCATATCTTCATATCATTTTGCTGTATTTGGATAAATAGAGGTATCTGTGTTCCCAATATAGATAAACTAATACTAGCATTCAGATCATCAATAATTCTGTGTCTTTGGGCGTGTAATGACCCTTGTTTGTCATTGTGTTAATAGCATGCCAATGTACTTGATTATTTTGAAAGAGAAGTCAAATATCTGAAGCACTGTGAAGAAGAGTTTCAAGAGTATCAAGAGTTTCAAGCCAAAACAGAATCAAAATGGAGCTGGAGACACAGAGAGAGAAAACAGTAAGTATGTTACACTTGGAATTAAGAAAACTTTGTTTCTTTGGGTCTTTATAAGGCACCTGTTTCGTTAGGATTTCCCATAGTATTTTCAAAAATTGGGATGGACATAATCAGAATAGCTTAGCAGCTCTTTATTTCATATTTACAATTCTTAGGAGTGGAATAGATGCTCCCAGGTTACGTGAGTTAAGCTCTTGGTCAAGTAAAACTCCTGCAAGAGCATTAGAGCCTATGGACATTTAACAACTATGAATTTGCTTTTCTTTTTACATCAGTTGCTCTTTCAAAAAGTTACATTTTGGCAACTTGCCTATAAAAATTGCTCCTTCAAGTGAGGAGAGACTCCAGCCTTCCATTCTCTATTCACATAAGGATTTTGCCTCTCTGTTCTTTGGTAAATGGTTTAATAATACCAACTAATCAACCAAGGAAGTGACAATTCAGTTAATGCTGCCCTAGGTGATGCCTATTAACTTGTGATAGCACTGATACTATCCACTGTAAAGCAAGGGGGTTGCATACAGGTTTCAAAGCTTGACAGTGCATTATTGCCTGCTATGTGTTTTTCCTTCAGTGTATGACTACTCTACAGAAAACAAAAGAAGATATGGAGGAGCAAGAAAATGCAGACTATATTGTGTTTCTGGACCTGGAGATGGTAATGGATTTAGGACTAGTAAATGGACAAGAAATACTTTTCTCATCAGATGCTTAGAGCCCATTATTACCTTTAGAACCAGCAAGTTTATTTCAGGGCCTCTTTATTTCAGCAGAACATGTTTAGCTTCAGAAATAAAGCATCTTGCAGTTAGAGATCATTGTTTCACTAACTTTACCCATTTGCTTACTGACAATTTGGCTAGAGAACAACTGTTTTGGGCACATTTCCCCAACTATCTTTTATTAATACAGCTGTAATGAATAATCTTTCTGTTTCAATAATAGTTTTCAAAGTTCTGCCTGTCAGGACTCCACAATCTGCAAAAACCTTAAACACAACTCAGATGGTCAAACCAATATGCCAGTATTCACCCCTCCAATCTACATCCCCCTGCTCCCACCAGAGTGGAAGCCATTCCTCTCCAGTAGTTGCATTCACATAGGCCATCCAACTTCACTAGTCACCTCCAGCACGCACCTCCAGCCTCATCACCACAGCACTCACTCCTATTGAAAACTTGGGGACACACAGCAGGTTTGGGGTGGGAGGGTTGAGATGTCCAGGACATTTCCTGCTCTGGAGATATGATGACAGAAAGCACTCCAGAGCGAACACCACTCACCTGAGGGATGTCCAGTCCCACATCCCTAAGCTGCTGTTGAAGAAGGGGAGGCATGCAGGCACACGGGAACCTCAGACGACCACAGCAATCACAGTACTGCAGGAGATGGAAGGAGCAACTCCTCACGCAAAGGCTCTGCTCTCACCTAAGGGACTTAAAGATCAAAACCAGACCCTGAGTTGTTCTTATAAACCAATGAGACATTGCAGCTCATGAAGCACAGGAACAAAGATTTTTTTTTTTTTTTACACTAAAGATTATTGCCATCATTAGGTAGCTTTACCCATTACAAATGCCACAAGCATGCCCAAATGGCACATGCAGTCATCTGGACCACAGCAAGGAAAAGAGGTGGCCACCACTGCTACAAGTGGACCTATCCCAAGAAGATTGCCACAACACTCGAACAGCATCATATAATGCCACTGCTTGTGCACTCCAATGCTCCCTCAACAGCAGCAACCTCATTCTGTTCCCTTAAATGCAGCCACAACAAATATTCACCACGCTATAAAGTCTTCTACATATTACTTACTAGACTTAAATGATAGGGGAGCCCCTTGCACTTCTGCTGAATCCATACCTTGATACACTAGGAGAGGACCATATAAATTGCTGAACAAGTTTCAAGGGCTGCTGAACCAAAAGCACAGATCGGACCACACTATGCACAAACCCTTCAAACTTCACAGGCTTAACCACTTTTACTTGCTGGCATCAGATTAGGAAATGATTGTTACTTAAGACCAAAGCCATTAAAATATATTGTTCCCTCGAAATCAGTACTATTTAGAACAAACAGCTTTTACCAAGCACACCACGCCTGTTGAGTGTGTGCATTTCTGTCAAAAGACAAGTGCTCTTGAGAGGCTGAACGGTGTTATACAGAAGTTTTAATATTTACCAGTGTAAATGAGTAACAGCTCATGAATATTAATGTTCATCCTCCATCCACAGAGACGACTCTTTCATAAGCAGTGTTCTGCTGGTTGCTCAGTTCAATGGCCAGGTCAGACACCATGTAACTGAGCGCAGCCTGTCAAGCAGAAATTAAATCTATCAGAGGAGGAGAGATTAAACTCTATATGGGTGAGTTCACTCTTTCCATGACTCACCAAACTCTTTGAGGGTCACAGACTCCTGTCAAACAAATGTCCCTGTGGTCACAGTAGACACTAAAGCACAAAAGACGACTGACACACAGGGGATTTGCAGAGAGGATCTTCGGCTGACAAGCGATAGCCAGCCCCAGTGCTCTGCTTCATTAGAGCAGAGCGTAGCCAAACACGAAACAGGAGCAGTGTGAGCCTCCTGTGCACTGAAATAAACATTGCAAATTTGTTCTAGGTAGCGTTAAAAACAGGTCTTTTCAATTTTCTAGGGCTAAGATCTCCCCATCACGTACTTTTAACACTTTAACTGAACTTTGGTCAGATTTAAGATAGGTTTGGTGCCTCTGGATAGAACTTGGTTTCAAGAACAGTCTTTTGTTTCTTCATTTGAAGTTTAAATTAATTATAGTAATATTCTTTGTTCCTCATATCAAACTACCTCTAAATTAAAACTAAGGAAAACTCAGCAAGCACGTCCCTACCACCTGCAGCATGGTGTTTGTAGTCAGAGCTCAAACACCAGGAGAACACAGCTCACCAGCTAAATCAATATTTAACTAACAACCCGCTCCATACGGATACGTAAATATCCCACAACCGACTAATTAAAAAGCTCAGTGCTCTGTTATCAGGCCTGAACTTTGTTAGAACAGCATCATATAATAACACCATCTCAGATCATCTTCCGTAGATTTTTGATTAACAGACCTGCAAAGTACATATACATAAAAGTCAACCATATGGTCATGACTTCCCTGGAAAGCCCAACCACCTCCCCTCCACTGTAGCTCTGTAACTACAACCCAGAAGAGGCAGCAGCCTCAGCCTGAGCCTTGAGCCCCACCACAGGGGCACTCTTGAGAGTTTTAATTAAGAGAATATTCCAGAAAGGTGGATTTCAGCTGGGTTTTTCTAACAGTGAAGATGAGGCAACAGATCAGGGCTCTCCTTCCCCAGAGCAAAGCAGTCTGGGGAGCCACAGGGATCCCCCAGGGGACATGGAGTAGCCTTCCTGAGGGCCATTCCCCTCCTCATCTCTGTTTCCAAATAACACCAAGATCATGACATTATACACACCCCATCATGGTCTTTTATGCTCTCTAATGCAACCCTGGATGTCCATATACCTGTAGGGTCAGATTTGTTATCTCATGGCAGACTGTTCTGCAAGTCCATTTTGCCTAGCAAACAATAGGGTTTTCTGCATGGGTCTGAAAAAGTCAGCCAGAATGAAAACAGTTAACTCATTGTGTAGGGTGATATTTTAAAAATGAGTGCATCATAGTGACACTAAAAGTGTAACACCAGTCCTCCCCCCATGCAAAATAACCATCTTTCAGCTGTTGCTGGCTCCATAATTTGAGATAAAGACTAATTTCAAAAGACATTTTTTACTGTTAAGAAAACCGTGTAACTCTGGATGGGGAGGAAGGTGAAGGGGTTAAGGTCTAGCAGCAGAAATAGCAGATGTGTGTCTGGCTTATCAGATTTATAGATTTATTCTGCAAAAATCCTGGATATCTACTTCTGTTGAGGATCTTTCCCTCTATTTTTAGAACACATCCGAAGAGCTGCAGCTACATTTCTTGCCTGGTGCATTAATAATCACACACACACGTTTCACATTTGGGAAAGACAGATCTAAAGATCTGAAGTTTCCGAGGATACAGGTCCCCAGCGGCTTAAGGCAGACCAAGGTCATGCTGCACCCCCTCTACTCCACATCCCACACAATCCCTACCCATCTCGTGCACATTCCTGTAATTACCTAGTTTGGAAGTGATTCAGTGGCAGCTGGATCAGCCAAACTGCATCTGGCCAGTCCTGTTTGAACAACCAGCAATGGATTAAAACTCTACTGATGGGCCTAGTCCATTCCTGAACTCACTTTAAGTGTATTACATTCTTAACATTTGGCTGCAAAGAACTGCAAGGACCTACACATGCATTTCTGCTTTTCCCTGGTGACTACAAACTACGATTCCTGGTGGCTACCAAGCCCAGCATGAGGTCATCACTGGAAAAGCCCATACTTGGGTATAACAACTTGTTTGTATGTGGTTTTGCCGCAAGTCTTGGAACCATTTCTCTAAGAGCAGCTGCATCTGCTTCCTTTACCTGAGAAGCAGAGGTCACACCTGAAGGAAGTTCATACACTCCAAGGACATCAGATCTCTAGACTCAACTGCAGACTCTGCCCGCTCCATTTAACCTCTTCTAACCTGTGGAACAGGAGCTGTCCTTGATGTCAAACCTGGTTACACCAAGCAGACAACAACAAAGGTTAGTAGAGAGAAGTCCCTGGCTGTACCCACAGGGTTCACCAGCAGCTCTGCCCTGCAAAGCCCCCCCAGCCCAAGGCTGCTCTTCCCTATAAAAAAAGAGAAAAAAAAAAAAAGTTGATGACTATTTTGGTATAGGCTGTTTTAAATGTCCCAATTTAGCATTTCTAGATTAGGGTAATTCCCACACTAATCCTCTTCCTTAAGGATCAGTAACAATTCTAAGAAGGATGCAACTTGATCAGATTATATAAATAATTAGACAAAATACAATAGTATCTGTAAAAATACATATATAAGGTACAACATAAAACCAAAATACCACTTGGGAAAGGTCTCATAAAAAGACAATTTCTAAGATACAAAACATGTTCTACAAGTTTTAACTAGATTAACAGCAAAATGTTTCATTTTAATAACAGCAATACTTTGCTTTCAATTAACTCATTAGATTAACATTAATACAGTTTATCAAGTCATTAATTTTCCCTGTTGTAAGGTTAAAATATTAGAGCTGACAGAGCAGCACACTGCTGCACCGAGTTACAGAACCTACCTCTAGAAAAACCTGCACTTACTCAAAAGGTGCTCATTTACATCATCTGTGTTATTATAAACAATGAAAACTTCATATACCCTTTATCAAATAACTTTAAATGCAAATGTCTTTTAGGTAGTGCTAATACACGTACACACCCAGTGCAGAAGCCAACCTATGTTCAAGAGCATCAGGATCCTGCAATAAAAGAAGAAATGCTGCCACAACACTGGTTTGACAACTCCCTTAGAATAGCATTCCTTTTGTTTATAAATTGAATAACGTTTGTTTTGTTTTGCTTAATTATGTAAGTGAAATACTGGGTCAATCTAGAAAAGACAAAAAAAACCAAAAAATCTGAAAAACTAAATGGCTTTATGGAATTAATTCACATGTACAGCCAGTACAAATGTATGCCACCAGCTTTGCCAGGTTTAAATAATCACTAGCTAGGCTTAGTCAAATTTTGTTCTTAATTCAAATTTTATTTAGAATTTAAATTTATAGTTTAAAAAGTATGCACATTCTGTAGGTATAAAAGTTTAAAAAAATACATCGATTTATTGATAAATGCTTCAGGTTAAATTTACATTTTCATACATTATCATTATATTGCAATAATTGTTTTGCATCTTTTAACACTTATAAAAAATAAATTAATGAGGTTGAATAAACTATTTGAAACCATGCTAAAAGAATTCCTTTGAAAAGAGGGGTGAAGTTTGCCATAGCAATTCTTAATTCCTTGCTACTGTAAATAAATAACTCTTCAATTAAGCAATATAAGGAAGTACGGGTTAGCAGAAAAGCTCTTACCCACAGGGTGAACGGAAAGCCATGGCAGGATGCCAACATTGTACCAAAAAAATGAAGAGAATTAAGTTCTACCCTGCTGTTTGACCTCTCAAAACATGTAACCCCCTCACCCTCACCCACCCAAATCCCCCCTTCCACACTGGGGGTGACCTGGGGAGGACAAGGAACGACTCTCTATCTCCTTTTGCTTAAAGGGACTATGAAAACATCTGTATACGATTTGGTAACTATTTTTAATTAAACCAAGAATGTGTCTCCTTAACATGAAATGTTGAATGGCTCACCATAAATGACTAAAGATAAAAGATTATCTGAGAAGACGGTGACAGATGAATCTGACAAGGTCACAGGGAGGAGCTGCAATCCCACCCAAACTCCCCAGGAGTAACATCACCCAACCCATTCAAATTTATGTAATAAATCAGGTTTCCATTTTTGGGAGATTATTTTCAAAAAATAAAATAAAATAAAAAAGACTCAGAGAAAAAAGTAACTGCCTTTGCGCAGAATTTGAGTCTTGCATCTCCAGAGCCACAGCCCTTCAGAGAGGGCTCAAACACACCTAATTACCAGCAGCCAGACAAAGGTACCACCTCAACAAAAATATATGAAACTATGGTGAGAAAAAAATAAAAAGGTATTGAAATGTCAAGAAGAAAGTAAGAGGTTACAAAGACAAACCAGAAGTATTTTTTGAAAAGTAAATACATTCCTGACCTTCTTTATATATGAAACAAACATGGAGGAAAAAAACAAACAAAAAAAACCAACCCAAAACAGAGAAAGTGTAGTGGCCTGTGAGAGAGAGTTAATAGTCAACACCTGCAAGCTGATGCCCCTGCAACACACAAGGTCATTTACATTAATCATTCACCCTGCCTTCTCCCTGGCTGTGTTTCTGTGCATAAACCAAACACTGTGTTACCCAAGGGGTAACTTCATCCTGGCATCACTGAACGCGTCTTCCTAGAAACAGGACGTTTCGTAACTCGGAGACCTCTCCTTTCCAAAGGTGGCTACAGACACATGCTCATTTATACATAGATATATATACAAACAAGGTTAGAAAAATATTTAATTTTTGCTTGTTTAAATAATTATTGAAAAGTGTTAATACAGGAATACATTAATATTTGTACAATTAAAACTTTATATATAAATATTATATATATATATAAAGCATTTTTCATAGCAGCCATTGCATATATATAATAGAATGAGTCTATCTGAAGTCCATGCTGCAAAAATTCGGGCCAAGCAGCGTTCATCCTCTTCCAAGAGGAACATCTGTACCGGAGCTAGGAATGAGGAGTTCATTCTGCTGCCACCAACAGCAGAGACGTTGCTTTATCTTCTGCCAGGTATTGCCCAGACCACCTAAGTGCATAGTATTTTTAGGGAGAAGTGCCACTCTGTGGCATCATCTCACGGTCTCTAAGGTTGTCTCCAACATCAGGATCAGGCCAACACCTTCTTCTAACAAAAAGGCAGAAATGTAACGGAATGGCTTAAGATTTGTTAACAAGGTGGGCTGTGGCCTTACCACAGGGTGTTCAAGGGCACCATCTCTCCTCATGTGGCTGTGGGAAGCCCACTGAAGGGCACTGAGGCACCAGGAGGAGGCGTCATGCACGACAAGATTTAACAACTCATATTTAGCTTGTTCTTGTTGAGTTCCCTTTCCAGGTTTCCTATCAGAGTATCAATACTTTCCTGCAGGTCTTTGAGGTTTGCTCTGTGGTCCACTGCCGAGTCTATCGCTTGCATTGTTAAGTAGCTCTGAAAGGTGTCCTCTCTGGGGATGGGCTGCGGGTGCTTGACCGAGGTGTCCGGCTCCTCGGCTTTGCCGCTGTCATCCCCGCTCTCTGTGTCTTCCGAAGGGACATCATCGTAGTCTGCTTCACTCAGGCAGTCTTTTGGGTTTAAGAAGTAGTTCTCCCCACAACTACTCCAGTCTCCAGCGTAGCGGTTGCTCGAAGGGCTGTCTAGACCTGCTGGCCTCGGTCTGAGCACCCCAGACATCTCGGTACCGCTCAGATTCAGCATCTGAGGTCTCTGCCTCTTGGGTCTCAGGTAATTCAGGGAGGATGGGTGCTCAGGAAATGCATTCAGATGTGCTGGCTCTTTGGCAGGTGAGTGAGGTACTAGAAGAGAGAAGAAGTTAAACCAGAGTGAGGGGTGAATCCATACTGCAACAAGGGAGGTCCACGACAAATGCCCACTCTCCTCCCTCGACGTCACACGCTAACAGCATGCATGAATACATGCAAGCTTACAGCCAACACATTCCACTAGTGTCTTCTGCTGCTGTTTGATATAAAATAATTAGAAAAACTACTGTAAAAGCTCAGTTTTGAGGATTCATGCCAGATTCAAACTGCAACGAGAGAAGCCTATCTAAAAGTAGAACTTCCCAGAGCACCAATTAAATTCACTGCATGAGTTAATGACCCTCCGGCTCTGGGCCAAAGGAAAGCAAACAGCTCAGCTCACACCCTTCGTCCAGGCTAAAGGAGTAACAGAAAGCAGGCATAGCAAAAGAGGTTAAAACACAACAAAAATACCACCATGGAGAAATGCCCAGAGTAGCTCAAGACGCACCAAGAGTTGAACTCTTGTGTTTCTCTTTTGCCCTAGTTTTCTGTGCTATTAAAAGAAGCTAATTTGCATTATGCATTATTTTTCTAAGCAGCCACAACCCCGTGTCAGACGTACACTCAAAACAAGTTTGACGGTCGTGTTACCTGAGCTCAGGATTACACAGCACAAGTTACTAACAGTCTCCTCCACTGTTACCGGCTTCCTACGGTAAACAGCACAAATATTTTTACTGACTCGGGCCTATGGAATGTCTGAGCTGCAAAACTTCTATTTGTTTTAAACAGACCATTACCTCTCGTAATTGGAAGCAGAGACTTTCTAGTCCCATGCGCTGTTGAAAATGGGGTGCAAGCAAACCCACACAGTTTAGAGTCTCACCCACTCGTTAAGACTCCTCAGACACAAGCACAAAGGCTCAGTCCTGAGATGTGCCCTATGCCTCTCCTTCTGGGTCCTCATTACAGGTCTCTCTAGGGGACTTCAGTCTTACTTTACATCTTGCACAGTAACGTGCAATAACTATCACTGCTTTCCACTCCCTCCCCTTACTACAACAAAAGCCCTTGTGTTTAGACTATGCTCCCTTAAGATGAAGGGCCATGGGTTAACAATAACTTGCCAGTATTACATGGTCTAAACGAACAAGGACTATTTGTTTTCGGTTGGAAAAATACGGAAATTGAAGTATTGCACAACATGTTGATTATCAAGCTGTCTCAATCTACAGAAGATTAAATGTACGGGACCAGACTGTGAGCCTTCCGTCGGGTCCAACTGTTGTGTGTACACTGCACGGTGTTCGCCTGCTCACGTCTCTGCATTTGTGTCTTACCTCCCTTTCAGCACAGTGTCCTGCACAGTTCCTGCAAGCTGAGGGGTAGCGTTCAGCTTGCTCTTCCAGGGAAAACTCCACTACTCACCCTGCTCCTGTGCCCTTTACAGCAATGCACACTCCTACGGGCAGAGCTCCATCTCCCTGCCATGCCATGAGCTATTCCCAGGTTTTTGTGATTAGCTCCTGCACAGGATTTGCTGCCCAAACAGCTCTTGGTCTCCCCAGCTCTCCTGTGCTGGCTCACTGGCCAGACTGAAAGCTTCTTTATATTTTTGCTGGTCAGCAGCTTTGGGGCTGCCCAGCTGCAGCTGACAAGGAAGCAGAAGTGTCCTCAATAGCCTCAAACCCATCACGCAGCTGCACCATATGTCAAACTAACTCTCCTCTTGCTCTTATTTTCAGGCAGAGAAAGTTTCCCTGAGGCTGCAGTGAGCAGAGCCGGCAGCTTCCCGGCGGTGCTGACCCACAGCGTGGTCAGCGTGTACTTGTCACAGCCACAGGGCCAGCTGTCACAGGAGGTGACTCCAGGGCACGGCCACCATCAGGTCAGCAGAGTGTAGAAAAAGAAATATGTAGAGAGCACTGCCATTTTCATTCAAGTCTTTCCCGCTGCCCAGCTGGTGACATTCCTTCAGCCCCTGCACCTGAGCTGCTGGAAACCAACTCACCTCCTCAGCTGAGAATCAAAGCAGAGTGGCAATGCCTAAGGCAAGCAAACCATTACCAGACTTATGAAGGGGAGGAAATCAGACAACACAACTGAGACTACTTACAACCCTCCCAAAAAACTGGAGGGTTTTTTGCCCTCCAGTACATCGATTGTCTACACGGACTTTTTCCCCAAACTCCTCTTTCCCATCACTAAGTGGCAGGGCAGGCGCTCGCTGACCACTGCAGCCCCCCCAGCAGCAATGTGCCCCCATTCACAGCCAACAAGGTCTGTGCCGGTAGGAAGGAGCCTAGAGATGCTCCCCAGGTGGGAACTGTTGTAAGAGGAATGAAGAAGTAGCTCACGATGGGCTGAAATCACTGTCTCACCCAGAATATTCTTTACACGATCAGTATCCGACACACCACATGAAACGTTCGAGCACTTGAAAGACCCGAGTGGGCTGCTCACAAACCTGGTGTTTATGCTGTGCTGGTCACGTCAGCTCAGAGTCAACTCTCTTCTTTTGCATTTGCTTCACTTGTCCTGACACTTCACAGTTCTACCCATGAAAGGATTAAACCTTCCCCCAAAATTCCCTCTCTCATAATTAAAATAAAAAACAAAGCAAAAAGACACCCCCTCCAAAAAAAACCCACCTTACAAATTTAAGCAAATGTCTAGATAAAAGCTCACTAAGTATTGCCAAGTAGAGCAGAGAGTGTTTAAGATGACCCGTGTAATAACAATAGTGTAGATTCCCATATTATTTTGTAATCATAAAAACCCTTTTAACAGCAAGACCATACATCTTACATTGCATCAATAGTTCGTAATCAAAGACTGCATGTTCATCTGCCTATCCTACACTTTGTATGCTAGCACACGTTCATTTATTCCTCATAGGAATAGAAAACAAATGCAGACAGTTATTTTTTTTAAATTATGTATACAATTGGCCAGATACAGGTCTTTGCCAACCCACACTTACACGTCAGGAGAATAAAATGTTTCAAGAACCACTAAGCTGGCAATTGCAATTTTTCTTTAGAATGTTTGCAATGGCGGAAGATGACAGAAAAAAAACAAACAACAGCTTTTCCTCAAATACTCTTTGAATGAATTGAGGAGTATTTTGTATCCTGAACACAGAGTAGCAGAGTCCACCTGGTCAGCTCAAAATGCAGCCACAGCATCTGTAATTCAGTATTGGCACGTCAGGCCCTTTGTAACCCTCCACGTTTGCCAGGTGACCCCAAGTCTCCCACAAAAAGCAGACTTCCTCCTCTTCAAGTAAAAATAAAATAAATTTAAAAAAAAAACCCAGACACATTAATCATTTAGATTAACTGTAAATCCCACTCATGTTTCAGTTGGTGCAGAAATTCAGCAGTTTCCCAAGAGCAGTTATTGTGTTCTAAAAGGGAACAATTAAGAAGCTGTTTACAGCTGTCTTAGCCTTGAGAATTAAAGCGTTTACACTTCAAATTTGAGAAGTGGATATTAAGTTATTCAGGTTACCAAAGAGATCAGTTCTCCACACCGATAGCCAGACCACTGTGAAAAAGGAAGATACTACAGCAAAACGGACCCATCTTCTGCAGGGTTGAGCAGCTTCCAGTAACTGCTTGGCCAAAGACTATCTGAAAACAAAACTAAATCCATCAGATCCAATGTTAAGTTGTTCCACAGCATTACCCTCAAACTCTCCCTGTTTAACTGAACATCTGCAACACCTTTGTCTGCTCCTGACTTGAGGCAGTGCTTGTGCAAGAGAAGGCAGCGGTTCTGCAGCAACAGCAACGGACAGGAATTCACCACGGGCTGAAGCCCAGGGCTCCAGGTGTCATCCTGACTATTTCCACTGGCTTACGTCTCTCTAGATACCAGGGGAAACGTGAGCACTGTGCAATCATTTCCCATTTGAAAGGCAGACCTTAGCAGAAATAGTTATCTTCAATTCTACTTTGGTAGTTTATTAGGAAGATTAGAATCACCTCCCTTCTTATTGAGAATTGACCCCAAATTGTGTGAAAGCATATGACATCCTAAGTTTGGAAGTGGGAGCTAAAAGGTACTTAAGATGTTTTGGTTTGGGTTTTGTTGTTTGGTTGGTTTGGGGTTTTCGTTGTGTTTTAAAAACATTTCTCCTTGGGCAAAGCTCTGCACAAACAACTAGAAATTGCACAGCTCTTCCTGTAAGGATGTTCCCAACTCTGACAAATTACAAGGGCAGAATTAAAATAACATTTCAGGTGTCCGAGAGTCCAAACTGCTAATGAATTCTATACACAGATAACCCTGAATCGTCAAAGCAGGAGAGCAGATTAAAGAAAAAAACAAAAAAACATGACCACAAAATCAAAACACCCTCAAAGCTCCCTAATTCAGATGGGGAAACCTTACTGTCACTGGGTTTGTCTTTTCTACTGTCTTTACTCGCGTAAAGCACTCTTCACCGCTTCTGACATTATACTCAAACTCTCACATCTGGTAAGAAAGCAATTAAAATAACAAACTTTCCATTAAACAGAGTGACTGAATTCTAGGAGAAGATTATAAAATTGTCATGATTCTTTAGATTAATAGGTGATACCATAGTACCTTGTGTTTTAAGAATTCTGGTGCTGCTCGGTCATCCTGTGAATTAACGTACAGTCACACAATACAGACATACAGTCATGGTTTGACATTTTCCCTTCAGCAGACTCATGAAACAGTACCTGGCCACAGCTGGAGTAAATAGTGAAGAACCTCTATGTGTTTTTTGAAGTCCAGGGCACTAGCAAGCTCTTCCGAGTCTGTGAAGACTCTGTTGTTATGGTTGGTGGTCTCCTGCCTCTGGCTCAGTAACACGGGCCCAAAACATACGGCTAAGTTCTGGCACGTCATCTTATTTACTTCATGGTAAGAAGCCACCCGTTTCAGGTGATCCAACAGCATCTTCAGGGTAGCCTAAAAGAAGAAAATACCACTCAGGAAACAAAACACTAGACATAGGTGGTATTGACATCGTAACGTTGCTGCTCTAGAGGGATAAGATCAAGGCTGACAGCTGTGGTTTTTTCTACCAACACCGATACACGCAACATCTAAGTACTGAATTAGACTACCACAAAGCAGACTAGTTAAGACAGACTTTCTGGTAAAATTCAGCTTGTTTCTTACCCAATCTCAGTTTTATATGGATGAGTTTTCTGACAGTGGAAAGGGGACATCAGAGAGAGGAGAGAAGCTGCAGCAGCAGTACAGATGATCCAGGTACATTAGAAAATAAAGAAACCCTCAGTATGACCTCAGCATCAGAACAAGCTTCCAGGTAACTTCCAAGCACTGTGCAGGCCACTCGCTCACTCTCTGCCATGGGCTACCTGTGGTTTTCTACAGAGGTGAACATGGCCGGTAACAGCTCTATTGCACTGCACAGCATGGGAAGTGAAGACTTTATTGCAGATGCTTAGGAAAGAGGAATGCATTTTCCTGTGTAATTATGACATACAGGTCAGAGAGCTCTACAGAAATAGAGCAGGACACCATACAGGAATCATCTTTCATCTAACAATGTGAAAGTAGTGATCACACCTTTTCATTCAGTTTTATAGAGGCAATACAAAATGCAAACTAGCATAAATCCAGCAATGCAGAGCCTCCAATTTTTCACAGCATTGAAGTATTTTCAAAGACACGGAGCATCAAAAATCCAAGTGGACCATTAACTCAGGAAAGAGGCGTACACATTTTGACATGTTATGTCCAGAGTGAAGATGTTCCTTTATTTTCTGAAGCACGCCATTTACTTGAACCTGCTAACACTGCTCACCTTCTCAACATCTGGCAGGCAATCCAGAAGGGCTGCTGTGTGCTCGGAGTCACTCGGGTCATTCTCGCAGCCGCTTGCTGTTATTTTCAAGGGATTTTTCACCATAGCCTCCAACACTGCTTCGTAGAGTTGCTTGGTTATCAGGGGAGAGGGCAGCTCTCGCAGATAATCCTTTAGGACACCTTCACAAGAGACACAAGAACAACTGCCTTTAGCAAGCTGCAGATTCATTTTCCAGCAATTTTTGGGAGCGCTAAGGCACATCAGCTTCACCCGTCCCATGAGAAAATCCTCCATGTCTCGCAGTGGTGAGCAAGGGATGGGAAGATGACAGCAAAAGGGCACAGTGAACCATGGTTACATGAGGAATCCCCACAGGGTCAGCTAAGAGGCAGGAGGTATCTCTGCAACGTCCCCATAAGCCCAAGTGGCACTTATCCCTTGTCCCTGCAGTCCTGGCAGCTTCTCCAAGCCCACACAAGGCAACTCATCATGAATTAAGAAGTGAAACCAGGGGAGGAATGTGCACGGCACCCAGAGAAGAGGGTTGCATGCACAGGAGTGGGTACACCAGGCACAGGGTGAGCATGTCTCCAGGTCTCCCTCCAGATGGGGACAAGGGAGAGGCAAGGAAAGGGGTCCTAGCAGTTCACCTCCTGTCCTACAAACACCATAGTCTTCAGCCTGATGACACCTCCTCCTTTATATACAACCGGCAATTAATTGTTCTGTTTATTAGCAAACATTCCAGTGCCAGTGGCACATTTGGTGAGGCACACAGCTTTTTCACACCTACCAGAGCACACACCAAACAGATGTCCTCAAGAGGCAAACACCAACTCCTCCCTGCCTCTGGGTACCCTGTGTCCCCCAGCACACCGCTCACTTCTGCTGTGACAAACGTAATCCACAGGATTACAGGGAGACACTGGCTAAAACAGCCCTGCACTGAGCCCTCCCAGTTGCAGAGCTGCATTTCACCGCTTCAGAAGCTGGGGATGTGCTGGAGGAGAGGCTGCTCCTACGGGGGGTGCAACCACCAGGCAAGCGCTTCATTAAACATCTATTCCTTCCACAGATGCAAAGAAACAAGAAAGAACTGAGCATTTGCATTCTTGTAAGCTAGCTTTGAAGGCTGGCCAATACTTCAGTATGAATGGGGTTTTAGTGATCGTTAGAATTAAAAAACCCAAAAGATGAAGACTTCTAACAGTCCCCCCAGGAAAGGAGACAAGCGGGATGCTACCCAGGAGTGACGAACCCAGGACAACTGACACAGAGAACTGAACAAGACAAGCCTGCCTCCAGCAGCTTTTACTTTCCTGAAGAAAGGCATTCATTCTGTGCCACAAATATCTACCCATTTTATCTAGATCACAATTGATCACTTTGTTAAGAAGAAACCGTGAATTAAAAAAAAAAACAAAACAAAAAAACTATTTGAAAGAGAGTACTGTAATTAACAAAGCAGCGTGTCCTCCAAAAAGGCAAAGTTAGAAAGGTAGAAGATTTTTTTAGCACACGCTCCTCATAGCCTTGTAAAATCCCAAATCACAGCAAATGCCATCACACTGTGCTATTTAACAAAACAACAGGTTTTATAACCTAACTGTAAACTGAACTGTATAGAACTGGGCTCTGCTATAAGATCGTTTCTAAAAAAAACCAAGAAACCAGGGAATAAAAGTTAACATTTTCCCCATCATAGCCATTGTCACATGCAGAAGGCAACTAAAAGTTAGCTTCTAGCTGTATAAATATTTTTATTTTAAAATAAATGTTTTTAAAAAGCACTGCACCTAGCAGTGACACAGCTACTCAAGCCATGCTGTAGGAGCAGCAGTAACTGAGGCAGCATCTCCCCTGGAGCTGCCAGCCCATCGCTCCGTGCGGCACAGGGCATGGGGCAGCCAGCCAAACCCCCACCACACAGCACCCAACAGCCTGCCCTTTGCTTAAAATGGGAACCTCCCACCAGGAATATAAAAAAAAAAAAAAAAAAAAAGAAAGAACAACCATCCGCGTATCATCCTGAAAAAAATATTCCCTCTGGTGGTTTCAGGTTTTTTGTTTGTTTGCTTTAAAAATAATACACCACTTCTGTAATTGCTCCACTAGTGGCTAGTTTTTAATAACTTACTCATATTCCCCCCTCCCTATCAAATTTTATTTCTTCCCCTTATTTTAGACAGCCATGTTGCGTGTGTGGATTAGCTGGTTAAAATATTTAGGAGACAAAGGTGGCAGAGGCTGGTGCTGTACAACATAGTTTGGGATATTTTCCTTTCTCCACAAGCAAAACACTAGCAAGAGATGTTGACTTTTATCAGGATCTTTGCTTCAGCTGTGCTTTTTTTTGGAGGGGGAGGCTTGAAAACAGAATCAGCTTACTGTAGGAAATGGTATGTCGTAATGAAATCGGCTTATATTGTTGAAACACTCACAAACGTCTATTAATAATCATTTAGTAGGAATTCCTGTAATAGCATCCACAGTCACAGGACCACCACCTGCCAAAGGACGTTCTCCTGTTTAGCCCTGAATAACAGGACAGTTTGGGAGCCATGAATGCCCCTTGACCTTTCTAAATCCTTTTCCTATTCACTCGGCTAAATTAGCCCTGTAAGAGGCTCCTGTTATTTTTTTTTCCACGAATCTACACTCCCCGCTGCTGCCAGCCCACTAGCAACATTCCCCTTGACACAACCACACACAACAAATTTAGACAGCGAGCAGAAATTGCCATCCACTTCATTAATTCCTCATTTTTCTGACCCACTGAACTGTTAACAGCATTGCATGCTTTATGCAGAGATATGAATTCACGTGGATGCGAACAGACGTGAGGCAGCAGCAGGACCACTGGTCAGTTCCGAAAACTGGCTGCACGCTTCAGTTTGAGCCACAAGCACACTTAATGGTGTGTAAGCCTGTGCCAATCCCAAGAGCATTTCTCAGTCAAGATTTAATCATTAAATGTTCATTCTTTAGTCTTTGGAGAGCTGTCAAAAAAAAAATAAAATCTTTTTAATCTTTTGGAAAAGCAGCGCTACTCAGATTTCAAAAAGGACAGAAGGCGGCTCTTCTCTTCAAATCTGCCAAGATTTATGCTGAGAATTCTTATTTTATGGAACACATGTTTTGGCTTAGAAAAGTATGAATCATGTGCATCAGCTTCAGCATTGCAAACACAGCAGTAACACGTCAGGGGAAACATTCCCTCTCAACCCAGCTCCTTAAAAGTATATGAGAATGCTTTTGTGGGCTCTTTTATTCCTAGTACTAAGCATTGTGGGTACCTCAGTCTGTCAGCAAAAACTGCAGGTTCCCCTTTCAGTCCAGACCATACTGTTTACAATTAATTAGAGAATGGGCAGCAATTTGGTTAGTGGCAGTTATGGGTGCAAACACCCCTTCCCTCCCCGCTCCCCCCAGCTGTCCCTTCAACACTAACACAGGCACTAATGGCAATCACACAGCACAGCTGCAAGGGAACCAGGAGAAAGAATTCAAGTTTTCTTAAAGTAACTTCTTAAAACCATTTTTTCCTTGTAAGGAAAGCAGTATGAAAGCAATCTCTTGCAATGTAACATATACAAAAGCACAGCCAGCAGTCTTCCCGTAGGACAGACACCAAGGCTGTAGTCTTTTCACACTTACAATACAAATTCTGGATGCCAAAAATTACCCTTCAGTAGTACAGATCAAAAAAGGACCAAGAGTCCAGCAGGACCAGCACGGTCACCAGACGTTCACCGTCACCAATGGGGCTTGCAGCAACATATATTAAAAAATTGACGTACACTTTTCTATTTAACCACATGAACTTATGATGGAAAGATCAGTCAGACTGTGCCACTTCCCCTCCAGGGCTTTGCATCAGTATCGAGCTCTCTGACAGTTCCAGACTCCTGTTTCAGCCAGTTCTGGTTGGTTCTGAGCATACAACATATTCAGGAAAATCAGAATGCTTATGAAATGTTGCAGGTTTTTTTTTTATATGGATGAGAATTAAGTTCCTTTGCTCTTTCCCATGATATTCCTGGACCATTTCTGCAAATACTGTTTCATTGTAATGTTTACTTGTAGCACGGGAGTGCAATGCTGGTTTTATTATTACAAAATTAAAAAAAACCAAAACAGACCACTGCAAAGTTTTCCATGAGCCAAGAGTTTACACCAACCAAACTGTAGTTTGTCATTTGCCTGCTTATAAGTCAATATCGGACAGTCTCTGCTGTTTGGCAGAAAAAAACAGAGGGGTTTCTTTCTCCACTTCTGAGTCAATTCATAAAAATTGTGAAGAAAATACTTCAAGTAATTTAATGGAACGATCTGATCTTAGAAACTATCACCACCTTTTCCCATTACTTTATTTGTAAAGAAAAGAAAATTAACCCAGTTTAAAAGATCTTTTATACTCTTTACTTTCACCGCACACCTCCTCCTTCTAAAGGGTGCATCCCATCAGAGCGAAAGGCAAGTTCCTGCTGCCGGGAGCGGTGGCCCTGGCGAGCGGCACCGAACCCAATGCAGGACCAGCCGAGGTGAGGCAGGGCAACCAAGGAGATGGACGTTCTGAACCAAAAGGCTTACTGAACTCCATAAATGTCACTGAGCAATAGCTTCTGATACCACTTCGTATAACAATAAAGTGTAACGAACAAAATTCATTCCCAAGACACTGAAACGAAATAAGCCACCAAACAGGGCAGGACTGTCCCGTCCAGCTGGATGCTGGATGTTAGGGAGAGGGCTTTGGCACAGGAAATTTATACCCTGACTACTGTGGTTACATTTTCCATCCCTGGGTATGTAGGAAACGAACGCTCCTGCCTAATTTCCTGGAGCAATTGGTTTACTCAGTGATGCCTGAAATTAGATCAACTTTGGTTTACATAACAAGTATTAATAGTTATAAAACTGTTCCACTTTTAAGTAAACAAAAAAAAAAAACCTTCAACAACTTTAGTTGTGCAGCGCAACTCCTGCAAAAATGCTCATGTATGCTGATGCAGATGGAGCCAGGCTTCCGAAGAGCTGCTGGTCCTGTACTCCCAGTCCTTCCCACCTTTGCCAGGAGCTTGCTGCCTGACAGCAAGTACAGAGCCACTCCAGTAAGCAGGGGAAAGCTGTTATTTAATTATGTTCTAAAAGAAGCAGATGATCTTAGGAGAAAGATGAACTTGGGAAAAAGTTCTTTACTGTGAGGGTGGTGGAGCACGGGAACAGGTTGCCCAGGGAGGTGGTTGAGGCCCCATCCCTGGAGACATTCAAGATGAGGCTTGATGAGGCCCCGGGAAACCTGGTCTAGTTGGGGTGTCCCTGCTGACTGCGGGAAGTCGGACTAGATGACCTTTGGAGGTCCCTTCCAGCCTGGGCAATTCTATGATTCTATGATCATATGAAGGCACGTTCCTGCAGCTCGAACTAGCCTGCACAAGATGATGGGAAATATGTTTCCAAAAATCCTGACATCTCAACAGAAAGGGAGGACAACAGGTTGATCCCAGATGGCCCTTGGATCACATGTTGTAGAGCAACTGGCACAACGGATGTGTCTGATCACAACTGAGTTTTTCCAAGATCTGCTCCAACACAAGCCACCTGCCGTGGGGACCTCAGCTCCCTTCAGGCTTCCACCTCCCTCTGTGACAGGTACAGCGGCTCCTTCCATACCCACCTCCCTCCAAATCACTGCTGCTTCACACGTAGACATCCCCATGGGTACCGTACTCATTCTCACCCTGCCTTTAGCAATACGCAGCAGCAAGTTAACAGCTTGACAAGTTCAGCTTGAAAACTAGTTGAGAGCGCCATTTCACCTTCTACAAACATGGCATAATTCTGTATTAGAAGAGAAGCAAGAAACTGCATTACCTGTGATGACATTAATATCCGGGTACCGGCTTTCGGAGAGAGTAACGGCCTTGCTGTCCCTCTCAAACGCCTCTCGAAGCTCCTTCTTGACGGCTGCCGAGCCACACAGCCTGTACAGGCCCACCACCTACAACCACAAACAACACCCACACGTCAGTTACTGTCCCGTGCAGGAGACTCACAGCTGACACCATGTTTTGTCTCATCCTGGAAGCGCCACAAAAAGAACTGTTTGGAAACGTACCTTAAGGAAACTCAAACAGTGCAAACCATTAACATCAAATGATAATGTACGTTATCAAACATTACACAAGAGACACAGCTGGGACTGGTAAGCAGTAAGCGAATAACAATAATGTTTTTCGTAACAGTGAACACATTAAACAGTATTTTATTGACAGAATACGAGCTTTAAATTGGAATCATTTAGTGCTTTGGTCTTATGCAAACTTAGGAAACAAATACAGAATAAGCTAGATAGTAAACAAAATTTAAATTGTATTTGATACCAGTAACTAGCACTCCAAAAGAATTATGAATACTCCATTATTACATCTATAAGATGCTGATTTGCAGGTGTTTCAAATTGTGGCAAAGCAGGGGTTTTTTTTTATCATGCTCAAGGCGAGATGAATGAAGCCCATGTTACTCTGGATTGAATTATTAATTCAATAGTGTGCTTTCATATACTCAAATTTTGCATTTTATCATTATTTATCAATATTAATTTCTGTCTAAATAAATGGAAAATTACCCAAGGGAATCTGTACTCCCCCTTTCCCAAGACAGAATATGATCTGGTATTTGCATAAGACAATTTCTTTCACTCTAAAGTTGTCTAATGCTGCATTCTGAAATTCAGGTGGAGATGCCATACCATGCCAACATCTGCAGTCTGTAGGAAAGTCAAATGTCAGACAAGCACATGGTTAAAACAAAAAGTTAACAGTATATTTTGCATTTTTGGTTCTTCCTGTGCAAATACACAAATTAGATTTCATGCTCAAAAGCACCAGGTACATTCAGACAATTCAGATCCCAATCGCTTCATTACCAGTGTTGCCTTGATTACCCAATATCATTTGCATGACTAGGTACTAATAAGCCCAAAATAAAATGCTGCAGCCATGGGACACACGCACTGGAAAGAATTAAAACTTCTCTTTTCCACTGATTTGCATAATGTTAGGAGAAGCATTTGCAATAAGAATCACACTGTTGTTATCAGTAATGACTTCCAGCAAAGAAATTACACAGAAATACCATTTCTGTCCGTATTTTATGACCTAGGTTATAAATAGCAGAGTTAATCTCATAACACCTGGAACTCCATGTCAGCAATTTAAAATAGTAACAGTAGTAGGTGTGATTACTACTCAATTTCACCTGAGCAAGAACAGGTGTAAAATAAACCCAGGGCACACATGCTGTGGAAGAGCATGCAAGAGTCCTCCCACCAGTTCCAAATTAACTGCCAAGGGGAAAATCCCACCTTAGAACCGTGCATCTTTCTTCCTAACAGCATCCATAACTGGGGATTTGTTTCCATACCTCATTTCTCCTACGTATTTTAGTCCATTAAGTTACATGAACTACTAAACTGTATTAGGATGAAGAGAAGACACTGGGCAGTGCTGCTTTACAGCATTCACCTCCTGTCCTGATTTTGCAAACAACTTGAAGAAAGGCAAGGAGCAACGGCATGGGGAAACAACTCAGCCCCTCTGTGTCTCCTCCTCATCTTAACGCCGTGCACAAAGTGATGGCAGAGAATAATCTTTGACCTATCCGCTTGAGACTGCAGTCCTTCACAAAAGCAGAGCTGGAAGCATCAATTTCACAGTCCTGTTAGTCTTTCTGCATTACAACGTTCACCAAACAAAAACAGCAGCTTTTTTTCCCCTTTCCCCCCCCTCACTGCTCATGCTCTGAAGCAACAGCTATCCCAACACAGAAATATTAACAAAACAGATTAAAATACGCACAGTACCTGACAGCCTCTCTTTTCAATCTCCAGAATGCATTTATGCATCAGCAGTGGCACCATCAAGCCCGCATTTTCCTTCTCTACAACTTTTCGAGCATCTACCCCAAACATCACAGGCTCCCGATCTGCATCGAGCCCATCAAGAGAGTTCTCCCACTGCTCCATGAGCGACAGTTTGACGTAAATAAGCCCCCTTGGTTCCAGTTTGACAGCCAGCTGATGTGTTTTTGTCACTCGGAAGAGAGTGGGAAGAGCCACAGTTCCATGACAACACACTCGATTTTTCCGTGGGGTGGGTTCCCAGCTGAAGACCACCAGCTTTAAGTGCTGAGCATTTTCAATTTCTATGTTGAATGTGTGGTCCATATCTAGGAATGTTGTCCTACATGTAAGCAGGGCTGTTCTTGCTTTGTTTACTGAGTCAACTTGTATCGCACAGAAAACATCTTTTGAGTCTATTCTGGGTGGTTTTAAGTCTTCAGCACCATAAAAGTGAATGCTCATGAGCCCAGAGATGTACTGAGAGCACTTGGGTTGATCAGAAAAGTTATAGTGCCTGAAAGCGTCAATATCTATTTCAGTTTTACCACTGTTGCTTGGAAGGCTCTCCTTTCCTTTCCCACACTTGGCTTCATGCCCATGTTTACCTGATTTTGTTATAAGTTCAGGAGAGTCACCATCACTGAGGTAACCACCTTTGTTGAAGGATTTGGAGCTCCTCGAGCTTTTCTTTTTGTAGGTGTGTTGCGACAACACGCTACTGTCCAGATGGTAACGACTTATCACATTCCTGCTGGCAGTGGTGGCTGAGTTTCCAGAAGATGGCAAAGACACGGTATGGCTTGTATCCCGGCAGCTCCCTTTCAGCAGGGAAGGAGGGTTATCTGGACTGGTATGGCTTGAAGTTCCCTTGACACTCAGTTTCCTGCTGAGCTCTGGCAGCTTTTTCATTTTCATGGAAAGCTTCCTCACAGTCCTGGGAGATTTAATTCTGTCAGGGAAAGGCCAGTTGATTGATCCACTTTTTTTCAGAGGACTGGGACTTGGAGGAGAAACCTCTGTTGAGGGTATATCAGCCTTGTGTGCAAGTACAACTCCAGACCCTTTGGAGGAAAAAGAGAAAGAATAGTCATTTTCAAACCACTCAGTAACTGCAATTCACAGCGATGAAAAAATAAATCTTGAACTCGGGGAACGTGTTGATTTGTCATAACTCAATAAATGCAATTCATTCGGACAATCGTCATTCATTCGTCAGTCAGATGTTCAGGAGCACTCAGAAACCTGTGCTCTGCTGACTTGGTCAGCCAAATTTGGCAGATCATAGTCAGGAGTCAGATTTGTTCTGCTTTATGGAGATGAAAGGGCCAGAAACCACTTATACACAAAGGAGCTACCCACCCACTGCATTCGGCTCAATCCATTAGTGCTGTATCCCCTGTGCAAGCAGACATGGCTGCATTCCCGGGGCACAGGTGCAACAAAATCAGCTTTAAATGGGAAAACACTGGAATATGGCAAATGCATCCTTGTCTACAAAACAGTTAGCTACATAGCCAACACATCAGCGATGCCCACTCCTCTTAAGTCTAGAGGATAGAGGCTCATCTCTAGCCAAGAATACAGCTGCACTCTTGTGTGCATCCCTCTGTTGCCCAAAAGAGCCCTAAATCCCTCCCCTCCTGTGTAGATGAAGGCAGTGTCTCACACCTTTTCTTCCATTTCTCTGAGCTCCTCCTTTCCACCACAGGACAAGGAACACAACAAGGACTTATGCCTTCCAAAACCTGCATCCTGCACTGCCTCAAACATCCATCCAACCAAGCTGCCAGCAACTCTCCATCTTTCCTGGCACACCAGCCCACGGCAGGACTTAATGTTACACAATTCCTAAGCGACACTGTCAGGGGAATTCACCCACTTTTCAAGGTACCCCCCAAAAAAATAAATCGTAACAGCAAGCACTGATACTAAAGAGGGAAAAAGAAAAAGAAAAGAAGAGCCCCCTCAATTTAGCACTAGAAGACAACTAGCTAAGGAACACAATTAGACATAAGCCAGTACTGTAGAGACAGGAACCTGTGGTTCATCTCATGCTCCAATACTCAAGGAAATTCAAACAAGTCATAGTTAAAGCTTTTCTCACATTCACCAGCGTGAGGCAGTAATGACTGTAGAAAAGGCCATGAATTTACATGAGTTAATGAAGCATGCAAGAGGGGAACTGAGGCCAGAATGATAGATACCAATAAAATTGCTTGAGTGCTTTCACTTAGAGTCACTTTCCTATCCCTTGAAAAACCAACAGTAGTTCCCATTCATGTGTTGCTTTGCAAATTTTAGCAGGTCCCGACAGGACTCGTGTAGCCTTGCCCGTGCAGACTCAGGTACCAGGGAGCCCCTAAGCACAGAAACCCTGTGTGGTGCAGCTCGTGGAGACTCAAACACCTAGATCCATCAGTCACCCTCCCCCTGCCAGCCAGGGAAAGGGACAGTCTATTTACAGCATACAAAAAGGAAGAAAGAAGTGTTGTTTCTCCAAGATACTCAGCAAATCATACTTTACAGAGGTGATTCTTACAGATTTCTTCTAAACTAATCCCTTTGAATCCGAATCACCATACAGCTAGTGATTTTTACACGTCTCCTGTTCATCCAAATTAATTTTCAACATTTAACTATAACTTCACGTGGATTAAACAGTTAAATCAGGCAGGTCTTTGGCCAAAGTCACTTGTGGTTTTGGCACCACCACCCTCCTCCCCCCAAAAAAAGCACTACAAAAGCTAGCTCTAGTCCCAACAGACATTTGGCTTTAATAACGTTTGCAGATAGCTGCTTAAAAGAGTATAAGAGAAAGTTTCAGTTATGACGAGTAATGCACAGAATGTTTTCCAGCGCGACAGAGGAAAACTCATTTAGCCCTGCATCTCATGGAAGCAGTTCCCTCGCAGGGGAAGGGCTATTTCCAGCACGCCTGCTGTGCTTTTCTGGCAAGCAGCTAGTTAGAAATGTGGTGTTTGATAAAAGCGGACAAAGCCTTCCCTTGTACTGCAAATCACAGCACGGTCCCACTGGTGGGCTGGCCGGGAGCGCTCTGCAGCAATCAGTGCCATACTTCAGCCCACTAACATTAATCTTCCCTTTCTGTCAAACGTCTCTGGCACAGGCTTGGAAAAGCAGGCCAGCAAATTAAATTTCACCCCAGCTCATTAAAACCGAAGAGTCAATCTAACACTCCGACTTTTTCACGTGTCCAACTTGTGCTGCGCCCAGCACCAAACAGTTAAAATAAAATATGCGGCTGGAAGGAACTTAACAGTGGAGTATTATGCAGGATGGTATTCCCATCAGCACTGAGCCACTCGATGCTCCACTAAAGCCCGCAATGTGCTGAGGTATGCACGCGATTTTAAAGACTGTACATGACACAGCTCTGAACAAGCTGCAAAAGGAGCTGTAGCACAGCCCGCTACCACCTCGCCTCCCAGCCTGCCCATCTCACATGGGTTCCTCACAAGGGTGCCAGAGGAACCCAGCTGTGCCTCGTGCCTTTCACCGAGTTACAAGGCTGTGCTGCAGACAGCCTCCTCGCTGTCCCTGTCCCACTCGCTCTGCCACCATATATCCCATCTCAGCAGTTCAACTTCAAAAATATCCTTACAGAAGGATGGTAGCAGACGAAACGTAAGAGGCACCTGTCATGTAAACGACTATCAAGACAGCAAAGGGATGGTCAATTTTATGTGATGGAGATGACTATATATACGTATATCTTGATTTTTTACTGTGAGAGCAATCAATCACTGGAACAATGTTCCCAGGGACACGACAGAGCCCCCATCACTGACAGGTTTTCAAGATGCGACTGGACAAGGTGCTAGGTAATCTCATCTAGGCTCCTTTTCCCACCAAAAGGTGGACCAGATAATATGCCAAGTTCCTTTCCAACCCAGGCTGTTCTATGATATACTTACACTTTCCAGAAGTTTAGCAGTACAAGTAGGAGAGAAAGAAAAATAGCTTTGGAAGGACAATGCAAGCCAAGTCCAAGTGACTTGACATCATAAGTGGCTGCATCCATCAGCTATCTGTTCAGCCTGACTAGCAAACCCACCTTTTACTTTGCTCAGCTCACGGCTGCGTGAAAGGACAAATCTTTTCACGACCAAAGAGACGCAGCTGGGGAGACACCATCAGCCCAGGGGAATACAGCACCAGTCCAGACCCCCCCCTCCCAGCTGGCCACAGGGCAATCACTGCTGTCCCCTCGGTGGCCCAGGGAAGCTCCAACAGACCGTACCCCTACATAACGCTGCCCCAGGGCAAGGGAGGACACCGACTACAGAAAGCACTTACAACGCAGTCCCTGCCAGACACAGGCAATGATTTAGCACAGAAAAAATGCCTGTCTGACCCTGCTTAACACTGTTTACATGCGCCTGGGCACATACATCACTGCCACACCGACTGCCAGCAGCACACGCCGTTTCACAGGCATATTTCATTACCTTATTTATTCTACACATAACACTCCTCATTGCTTATGGTAGGGGTTCTGAGTTATTTTAAAGTTCCTCAGAAAACCTGTACCCTGCTTTTGGGACAATGAGTTGAGGTGAATGAGTCAGAAAACTATCAGTTCCCTATTGCAGCGAGCTATTGAAATATCAAATGGCCACTCTCACAGCTAATGGAAACACTGAGATCCAACCAAACTAAGGCTGGGATGCGATTTATTTTCCTACCATTCTCCAGACATACTTAGTAAGTACACCACATGTAAGACCAACAGCATCTCTCTAAAATAATGGCATTAGTGACGCAGCTCTAAGACATTTCATTTTAAAATGAGAAGAAAAAAAATACAGCATACACTGAGGGTTTATAACTTTCAAAACAAAAGTCTCTCTCCCATCTAGATTTTTCATTCTCATTATTTTTAAATCAACCCAGTGGTTTACTGGGAAAATGTGTTAAAAATGAAAAAGTGGCAAATCAAAACAGAAAAGCCCAAATATCTCAAAACTGTTCTTGTAGCAAACGATGGGCGAGTGAAAAAGGGCTGCCGCTCTTCTGCACTAGAAAGACTGATCTGGATCTTCAGCTGACAGAAACAGCACAGCTCTACTTGACACCTGAGGCTGTGAACTTCCTCAGGTGCAGGCCCATTACACCTTCTCATCCTCAGATAAAAACTTCAGAGTAGAACCACAAATGCCATCAAGAGAAGAATTCACACTATACCAAATTCAAACAATTTCAACTATGATATAAGGAGAGCATCCCCTCTATCCACATAAGCAACTGGGGAAAAACAATCCTTAATAAAAACCCGAAAAGAACTTTTAAAACAGGGATAGAATGGAATTATTTCTATGTAACATCTTAATTATCTAAATAAATGGAAGAATATCCTCTTTTAACCTGAAAAAAAGAGTCCTTTTTACCCCCTATAAAAATTACTATTTTGACCAATGCAGCCTCTGAGGCCTCTAAGTTCCTTCCCACATAATGCTTCAGAATCAAGGAATGAAGGAATTATTAAAAAGGTACAAAATTCTCTAGGAATGCTGTAATGGTAGTTTGTTTTCTTCAAACATTATGCACACTAACATTAATTAAGCTGTGACAAACCCATCTACCCAGGGATCACTTTTGTGGAAGCAAAAGATATAAAATAAATTGCTTTAAATAGCCCATTAATTAAAATGGGAAGTGATTACAGAGTAACCTCCTGAGGTTCATGCTCACCGAGAGGTGAGGGGGTGACCACTGCCTGCTCTTCATCCCAGCCGTGACCCTCAGAGCATCCTCAAGGGTGGTACCTCATTACAGTGAGGAGAAGCTTGTGCAACAGCACTTTAGATCTCTGACCAGACTTAGAGACTGCAGTATCTACAAACAAGCATGAGTTTGTTGCGGGTATTTTAAACATTAATGATTCTGCGATGCACAGAGGCCAGTTGCCCCTACTCACACGCTGGCATCACACCAAGATGATGTTTGGTCTGCTCTCGTGAGGATTTCCTCCCCTCACTGTGTCTTTCATGGCATGAAAAGCAGCTTCGCCCCTGCTTCCCCAAGTCAGAGATATAAACGGTTATTCTGTACAAATCAGAAACTGAAAAAGGCAACAACTATTTTAAATTAACTGCTCCTACTCGGTTCCAAAAGGATGCTGCTACAGCCTTCTGCTTCTTTCACCAGCAGGTCTGTACAGTATCATCACTCCATGGATCAAAGACACATGCATTAATAAGCCTTGGACCTTCAAATGCAAGTACATGAGCTCCCTAAAAGCTCATCGACAAACTGGCTTCAGCTCTGCAGGAGGAGGAGGGAGCAGAGGGACCTTTCTACCACATACCAAACCTTCCTGGCATCTCAAACATTACGCAAATATTTCGTGTGAGTGCCTTTTCTGCCCCATGAAAACAAGGCTCCTTGCACTCGAAAAGCAGTTAAAACACAAATTCTCTTCCACCTGGAAAATAAAAATAAGTAAGCAAACCGTATTTGAAACTGTGGAAGGAAACTGGTAAATAAAATCTTCTGCCCACTGCACTCACTCCATGTGTACTGCTGGAAGCTCACTTGCGACATCTAAGCGTGCAAAATATTTGCCTGCTTTTTTTTTTGGCCCCAAAAGATGTATTTGCAAACTAGGATAGTGGTCACGGTCTAAGTGGAGAAAGAGCACCATAGCTCCAATTATGATTTAATTCAAGCTCCACCCCAATATAAGCCAACTGAAGTGGAAATATGGCATTAGCCTTCACTTCCTACAGCGTTGAAGAGAAGTCAGTGTACGGCGATTCCTACCAGGATTTTTCCACCCAGACAGCTAACACACATACATTTTCAGCAGCAAGAGCACAGTTCAGATCCTGGCAAGCTGCAATGTGCGAGTCCTACCAGGATGTCTCTGAGATACAGACTCATGCGAGATGATCCCACTGAGTAGGTGGAGACTATTAGTAATCCTCCAACAGTAATCCTCCCCAAAAGCAAAAATATTACAAATTCTTCAGAAGGCACTATTCAGAGCTCCATGATGTAAATCTATCACAGGAGGCAACACTACAAAAGGGTGGTTTTCTGCAACATTCTGCAGGTGATCCACGCGTCTATAAAAACATACAGTTAAGAGTTCAATCCTAAACAGCTGTAAAGAAAATTTACTTTAACATTTTATACATGCAAAAAACTGCAAATGCAATATGAAAAATTCAATACATAATAAAAATATTCCTATTTTCCAATCATAACCATTTTGCCTATCCAAGGAGACATCAAATTAAAAACAGCCTCCAGGGTCCTTTCCACTTAAATTCTTCTCCCACAGACCTAAGAACACAAGCTGGCACCGTGTTTCTACACTACTAGCTCAGAACCAAACTATCTTCTCACTTTTACCTTTTGTGTACTTTTCATGAACAAAATACATTCATTGTTTTTCCAAGCTCTGCTACAGGGGCACCTTATTTTTAATCAGTTCCTTTTCAAAAGCCAGCATGGCTAGAATTATTCACGAAGGAATTACCTGACAAATCCTATTAACATAAATGACATTTACTATAGAAAGTAACCAGATTAACACCAGGAACTAGCAGTGTAAATTAAGACTATGGGGGAAATTAGCACCTCTACAACTATGATGCATTTTATTGACAGCATTTACAAGAAATAACTATTTGCCGCTGTGTTTGGAAAGACTCCCAATAACTGAATTCTATCACTTATATTTTTTCTTAATCATCTGTCTAATAAAGACTCTCTCAAAAAAATAACAAAAATTAAAAAAGAACCCCACATTACTATTTTCTTTCTACAAAGCTGGAAATCCAAATAAGGCAGCAATGTTTAAAATTTTAAAGGTAAAATTGATTCCATTATCCAAAGAAGAAAACAGCAAATGACAAAGTAAACAACTATATATTTTATTGGCTTAATTATAGTGCCCCGCTGTTTTCTGTCTACGCTTCTCAAAATCTAGTATTTTAGACTCTAATGCTAACCGATATTGACAGACATAAAATCATATCAATAGGAAAGCAGAGCAGACTTTTCCCCAAAGCAGTAACTGTGTATTTGTCAGGAGTTGCTGCTTGATGTACCCAGCTCTCCAAGAATATAGACATCGATTTCACTGCAGTTTTGTAATTCAAACAAGGTTCCTAACACAATAAAGTTAAATTGGCCATGTCGCCCTTCACACAGTAATCTCATATGGATGAGCTGTCATTTTAAATTTGACTGAAAATAACTGTAGACACCTTAACTGGATTAAAAAGAAGAACTAAGCCACTTCTCCATAATAAAGCCAATTACCAAGCAGCAGGGATCCACTTCATCATCAATTAATCTATTCAACGTGATCACCATTCAATACATGCAAAAGGAGAGCTGCATTTAAAGTAGTTTAATTAACTCCATGCATAACAAACCAATCAGGGGAAATTCATAACACTTTTCTCCCGGTTTCATGAGACACTTTAAATGGGTATTTTGCTTTCAGAAATAAACATTTCTTGTGGGAAAACAATTTTGACTTTCTTCTTCTGACATAAATGGATATTTTTTTTTTTAAACAACAGTCACCTGTATATTGAGAGATTAACCACCTAAATGGGAGTGAAACAGTTTGCAGGACATACACACGGCTTTCCTAAATGCTTATTGACCTCTCCAAAGAGCCTAGGGCTCCTATCATGAAAAAAAAATTTAAAAAAAATCTACATAACAACTTGATATTTCATCTTTTTTGCAAGCAAATACAGTTGGTCTGACTAATGCAGCTATAAAATGAGCTATTTCTAAATAAATGCCCGATAACTTTAACACACTTTGCAACTAAAAATACCTTCGTATCTACAGTATTTCCACAAAAAGAACTAAATGTGAGCTCCCAGAAGAGACCGACTGTTTTTTCTTCTGCTGTTTACAGCAGTTGCTTTGGTGCCTTTGAAAACAAGCCCCGTTCCCAGAAGCAATCTCCGCACTGGGAATCCGGGCACAGCAGCTCCCGGCATGTCGGGACACGGGGCCAGAAGCCTCGCTGGGGTGGCGAGGATGGAAGGGGGAAACTTGGAGGGCAACGTCGATGCCAGTGTCTGAGGTCCTCTGCTGAGCTGGGCAGAAATACAGGCTCTTAAACGTCAGTGCAAAGAAAAGAGTAAACTTTCTCCAAAGAGGGGAACCTGGAATTCCCTGTCTCCTGAACTGTACACTAAGTTGCTAGCTCTCAACAGGATACTAGGGTTAAGGTCAAGATAATGTAAGACACAGCAGTTATTAAAAATAATGCCTTTTTGGAAAGGGTTGGTTTTTTTTTTTTTCTGCTCACTTTTGTTTGGTGTGGTTTTATTTTTGTTTGGCTTTTTGTAATAGACTGGGAAAAATCTTTAATAAGATGCTGAATTCACACACTAATGGAATTATGGAAATGAGACTATCAAACACTCAGCCAAAGATAACAAAGAACAAAGAGGTTGGCTTCTGAAAGTGAAAACCACTCCTCTCCAGTCTATTAGATTCGCCTGAGACAGTCAACAAGACAGCAATTACAGAGAGCAACGTGATGAATAGCGTTTATATGGTCTTCCAAAAAGTCTTTATTAAAAAGTCCCAGACAACAAGTTAAAGAAACTTTTGCAGAGTTGCATTAAGTAGGTCGGGGGCTGGAATCCAAGGCTAGACACTAGCTACCAAAGGAAACCCAGCCTGTCCTCATACCACCAGGCTTCAGCAGGTTCGCTTTGCAAAACCTTGGTCTTCAGCAAGGTGGGGGCCAGAGAGCGCCAAGGACAACCACCCCTGGACATGCCATAACAAACTGACTGAGAAATCACTGCCCAGCTCTACATTTAGTAGATATCAGTCTCACAATCTGAATCATTTCTGATGAACTTGACACGTGTTTCCACCAGAAATTTGGTTGATAAAGACAAAAGGAGAGAAAAGAGAAAAGAGAGACTTAAGAATGGTTTATTATTCCTCTAAAAGAAAATAGAGGACATCACACTTTTATGTTCCTGAACCCTCTTACCTGTTGAAGGACACTTAAAGGCAGGATTGTCCTCTACTGCTGGCACGGCAGCAGCCTTGCAGCCAAACCTCTGCCGGTGCTGCTGCAGGTGCTCCCCGGGATGCACGCCATCGGCCTGACCCGCTTCGCTGGTCTGAGCCATACGACTGTCACCCAGGCTCTCCGTGGAGTGTGGAGGACCCTCATGGGGACCTGTGGCTGTCCCCGAGTCACCCCCAAGCAGGGTTTTGTACCGAACCACCGGGGAGCCCACAGTGACAGGGCTATTCACGGCTGAGAGGCGGACCCTTGGTACGTCGGGCTCATAATCTTCAGGGATGGGGTTGTACCATATTTCTCCTTCATCATCTGCATCGTTATCCTCACCGAAGTCCGGAGCAGCGCTCCTCAGGGCAGCAGGGCTCGTGGTGCTGGGCAGGCCTCGCGCGGGGCGCTCCCGTCCCACCGGTGACACAGAAGGAGCCCATGGCACCGCGGGCTCGGGCAGCGGGGTGGGAGATTTGGGTACCAGGATAACAGCCCCGTGTGCTTCCTTACAGGTGTTTTCTTCTTCCGGAGGCAGCGACGGAGGAGGAGGAGGAGGAAGTCGGTGTGCGCTCTGCTGCAGCCAGCTGCGCTTCTTAGAAACGGTAATGCTGTTCATCTGCGGCCGATGCTCGGGGACCTCGCTGGCCTGCAGGGACTTGGGCTCCTTCCTGCTTCTTGAAGCTATGTAAACATTTTCTATCAAATCTGTTCCCAGGAAGAAAGGCAAAAAGAGAGGGAAAGACAAATGTTTAGAATATTGTTTCGCTTTTGACACATGAACGCATACGCTGTTGAATGACGCTCGCATTAGACCTCATCCGAACGGATAAAAAGCAAGTTGATGTGATCATAAAATTAGTTTTCAGGCTGTCAAAGCAGAATGTGCACATAATTAATAAAGAGTCAGGCTTGTCTGGCTGTATTTTTAACACCATGTAATTTAGATAAATGGCAGCAAGACAGCTCTGCTGAAAGGTCACACATACTTACATACAAACCCCTGCTTCTTTTCTGCCAAGTCCAGGTACAATTGGCTTGAAAAGTTGCTACTTAGTATTTTTCCAGTGTACTTATGCCAATGAAGAAATAACTCATGCTTTTGATGTAACATACTATTTAAATGGCTACAAAAAACCCCACATAGATTCAGTTCTAGATTTATATATAAATAAAGGTAAGACTATCTTTTGCACGAAAACCTCCCAAAAGGACTGTCCTTTCCAGCTTTATCCTATAATTAAGGCAGAAGCACCCCCTGATTTGTGGGGAATAAAACAAAACACACCATCATGAAAGGAAGGAAGGAAGGATGAAGAAGAAATGTAGAAAAGTTTTAAAATATCTCATTACACAGTAAAAATTTCAGGCAACACCTAATCAAATTCGACTGACTGCTCCAAAAACGTGACACGATTTCTTTAAAGCAACGGCCAAGCATTTAAATTATGCATCGAAAAAGCCACTTGCACTTGAGCCCCTGTCGGAGCACGTCCAAGCAGCCCACTCCGCAGCAGTGTCACATCCCTGGCATCCTGTCCAGGGAGATGGGACCATGCAAGGAGTGAGAACCTCACCCTCGAGCAAGCACCGACCCCTTTGCCAGGGCTGGAAGGAAAGCTGCAAATACATCCCAATTAAAAAGAGGGAAGGAAGGTCACAGAACCCTCACGCTCCTCTGGGATAACCCAGACAGGGCTTGCTCAGCCAGTAAGACTGAGTGGGGATAACTGGGTTCTCACAAAACAGACAACTTGTTTTCATGCAAGGCCCTCTGCAATTGGAAATTCCAGACTGGAACAGTTATTTGACACTGCCTGAACATTGTTCTCAGCAAAAAGTTATTTACATGCCAATAACAGATGTTAAAATACGGACACCTCTCTAGAGGACTCAAGGAGCAGCTCCGTACATCCAGCTAAGTTTGCTGTAGACAGGGAGACAGGAAAAAGACTGTCACTTGAACAGAGTCACTTTGACTCTCTTTCTAGGTTTGTACATTAACGACAGAAGAGATCCCTGATAAGATCTGAAACACTACCATTCCATTTGATGAAAGATTCATCATTTGGCCATTTTTTTTTTTTTTTATACAAGTGAGGTTTAGTTTTTTAGCTAAAGTGCAATATGAACACTGTTTGTGATTTGAATAATTAGCTCGGTTCAAAGAACGAACAAAATTAACCATGCTCATTTTGAAGCCCGTGCACACCTCCATTGAAGTGCTTTCCTGCACCGGTGCCCAAGTCGGTCAATTAACAGAATCTGAGGCAAACGTGAAAGCCGGGCTGAGGACGCAGATCTCTGGCAAAGTTTCAGTGACTTGGCAGCAACCGTATTCCTTCCCCCACCCACAGCCTGGAAATGTAAGCGTGCCATTGTAAAGGTTTCTCTTTACACATTTTCACTACAATTTCAAGTAAGGACTAACCAAAAAGTGCTAGGTTGCAGCGGGCACAGGGCTATGCCTACACTTCCAAAAAGTCAGTTTGGACTGGGGACTGCTTGGACAAGCATCGTCCTGCTGGCCGTGACCACCTCGAAGCCTTCCACTTGTGCCCAGACAGCCCGAGGAGCGGCCCCTGCTCCAGTAACATAAACATATAGAGCATCCGAGAGCTGTATTTCCACAAACAAAAATATCTGTTCCTTCCTGCTTCGCAGTAGAAACGCAGGCCCTTCCACGTGGGTTCAGACAGCCTACAGTTCCCCAGACAGCGGGCTCCTAAGAAGTACAACGTGCTTAAATGTGCACCCAGGGACACATCTGGCGCCAGCCCCCGGGTCCCAGCGGCAGCGAAGGCGCAGAGCAAACTCTGCTTTGTTTTCGCCATCCAGCCGGGTATCCCAACCCCAAACCATCTGCAGGAGCTCACCGCAGGAACATTAATAATCCAGCAGCTCCGGCGCACTCCAATAACCCCTCTGCCTGCAGAGACACGCCGCCTACCACACAGATTCAAAACTACCCCGTCTCCCAACCAGCCAACGTGCTGCCAGCAGTCATTGATTGTAAACGTTCCCTGAATCCCATCCAGACGATACACTTCCATCTAAGTCCTCCAACTGCAGCTTTTGCAACCCAGAGCAGCGTTTGCAAGTGCTGCCTCCCCTTTATTCGAACTTGGCCCTGATCCTGAAAGCCCTTATGCCTGTGTTTATTTTAGTAACAAACTGTTTCACATGCAAGTATCTGCACAACCAGTGGTTCAGTATCACAGAGCAAGTTTTCAACATCATTAGCTGTTATAGTAACAAGCCAGTTTTAAATAAATACAAAGCTTTCAGAGATACACAGGACAGGCACATACTTTTGGTTCTAGAGCAAAGGTTCGTTCAGAAGAACGCTGTCTACTCTCAATTAGTGTTCTAATATATTTAATATATTCTAAAAATACATATTAAGCCTCCACACAAACACAGAACAAGACAATGGTTCCTTCCCAAAAGGCTTCAATATGGTGCTGAATAAAGAAAAAAAAAAAAGTTAGGTATTCCCTTCACCTTTCACTCTATCTATCTAAAAAATATTTAAATAAATCACGATTTAAATTTAAAGTGTTGTGGTAACAACACGTGCAGACTCAGAAACCAGAGCCCCAATGTTTCAGCTGAACTGAGGTCAAAATTGATATTCTGCCTCTTACGTAGGCGTATGAAATATTTCAATATGATACTGTGCACTGCTTTTCAGATAGTAATGAAGAGGGGAACAGCTTTTTCCAGTCTCTCCATATATGGATCAAAACAATCCGTGGTTCTTCTGGTTTTAATACCAGCTACTTAAAACATTTATTTTCATTAATTTTCCTTGTAAAACTAAGAAATATAATAATTCCGTATTTAAATGGAACAACAGCAAGACCAAAAATTTATTTGTAAGCTTTTCAAGTGCACCATTAAAAAAAAAAAAACAAACAAAAGCCAAAGAACGACAAACAGTCATAGGATAAGAACATGTGCAGGGATTCACACAAAGTACGGGTCTAAATTCAAGCGCCTCTTATTTTAATGAGGAATTTTTATTGTCGAGAAGAAGAGTAATTACGGGTGCGAGGATGTTACTGCTGACGATGGATTCAAGACCTAAACTTGGATTTGCTGAAGTGCCTGATCTCTGTTCACAACAAATCTGAAGGTTGCACAAGACGGGGGGGGGGGGGGGGG